ACACAAAGGTTACTTTATAGTAATTAACTTTTACATATTTTATCCACTTCTCAATTAAACGATCCTCTGTAGGATTTCAATATGCTTTTATGCTACATTTTGAGCAAATCAGTAAAAATGTGTCGGCTAATTTTGCTCAATTTCAAATGTGCAGCAACATTCCACAGAGAATTCAAGTCCAACAAAACCGACATCGCACAAGTTGCTATCCTGTATAAACATGAAGCTGTATCTCTGACAATATTCTTGGCTGCACTGCTTATGGGTAAACTGCATGTCTCGATCTATGGATAGCTCTGTATGGGTTAATACGGTATCAGTGTTTTTCATATCATTAATGGAATACATGCAATTATTTCAAGGCTTTTAAGACCTATAGATGTGCCACAAACTGCTTGACAGGTTGATGAATGAAGAAAAATGATAAAATGCTCATTGACAAATATTGTCACGAAAACCACCTGTTAATCCATATTGAAGATGTATTAAAAATAAGCATATGGTATGTATAGTAAAATTATGTTAATTATTTGATATTCTTCTGATTAACAATATTAGAAATAATAAAGGGAAATAAACATTTTTGCTGTAATAATGGCCCATGGGTGTTTAGAAAATTGACGAAAGTGGGTACTTTTTAAAACTCAACATAACAATACTTTCACCATGAAGTGAAATTGAGGTTACTATTTTTTTAAATGCCTGGTCACAAGTTTGACTGTGTTTATTCCATTTTTAAAAATGAAACTTTTATAAATCAAATTTCTAGCATCAAAGAATTTTTTTGTTCTTATAAACGATAGTGGACTTTTAAGAAAATAAACTCTTTGGGATAAAAAGGTTTGGTGGTGAAATTTATAAGTCATGTCCCTAGAATGTAAAAAAACCCAGATATATTATTTTCTATCCCTCAAATGTACATATATATCTTAATGATCTTAAAAGAAATGGAATTATGACATACATTTGCCAACATTCTCCATCTTTAACAAGATACAGCTCCCCTCATCGCAAAAGTGTTATTAACTACTATATTTTGCCCAAATAGGCGCCTGCTTCCTGACCAACTTCAAAATCAGTTTTACTCCAAATAACTGCCTCTTCCTTAGACCCAAAATGTAGTTGACCGCCGTTATTTTCCTATTTATGTAACAGATTTGTTTCAGCAGATAACAGAAGCATAGACGGGTTATATTATTGCCTTGTAACTGTAATGGAATTGTTTGTTCTTTTGACATTTATCTTCGAAAGAATTTAACTTATTGTTTATGTTTTGAACAAGTACCCCTTTTGTCAATTTTCGAATTTTCTTGCTCTTGGCATTATGGCAAATACGCTAATTCAACACATAGGATTTTTAACATTTATCTTTACGAATTCTTAAAAAGGTAAACAGAAATTTCATCTATTTCAAAATCCATTGTCCTGCTGTGATACATGGCAAGCAATAAGAAATATTTTACAGACTTTTGCTCGTTTATATAGCGTTTAGATACTATCATGTTTAATATGTTTCCAAGATCTTTATCATCCTAAGAATTCTATATCCAAGACAAAGATGTGTATTGACAACATTATATTGGATGTGTGTATATGTTGACTATGACGATTTGTGCATGCTTGTTTCTTTAAGACTTCCGTTATTAAATCAAACCAAAGGTTAGTTGTTTATTTCACAATTCAATCCTCTTGATTTAAAGAGATTGTTTCCGACATCCTAATATATGCATGTTCTTTCCTTCTATTGTTTGTTTTATAGTTTTATACTAAATTTGTTATGCTTGACGTTATCATTCATATGTTTACACTTTTGTTTTCTCGAAACATTCTTGTGTTATTATTTAACATTGCTGTCTCCTTGGCAATATATGGGGTACGACTACTCATGTATGCATGCATTACAGGTTGTCACTCTGGCATTATGTGTTTTGAATATACATCTCAACTTTTATAAATAATTTATTTAGATATACATTTGACATGAGAATCTTGAGAATCTGTTTTCTGTATCATGGAATGATAAAAATATTCCCCCAAAAAGTGGAATATTGTACTTTAATATCTGTTCCTTACATTCCATTACCTGTAGTTTAAATGGGTGTAATATTTCACCGGATGATCAGTGTAATACTATGGACATGGTACAAGATTGATCTCACAAAATTTTGCTTTTATACAAAATTGTGTAAATATAGAGGGTAACATGAAAATGGTATGAAAATGAATTATAAAATGATTTCTTTTAATGTGTTAAAGTATGTATTATTTTTAGACTTATATAAACTCAAACCATTTGACCTATTCTTTCCTAGCAGTACTGGAAAATGTCTCTTCAGTATTAGAGTTCATACTTCATGTGATAGTAGTTTGTATCACAGCCATACTATATACAGTCAACTCTCGTTAATCTGACACTTGTGGTTGCAGAGAAATATGTCGGATTAACGAAAATATGAAAATGTCGGATTAATGTATTTGTGTGAAAATATCAACGTTTACCATTAGATTAAATTTACCATTACATGCGCTATGCCAGGGTGGTATCCTGTAACCATGGGTGACTGGTCAGAGGCGTCAAGGGACAAGCAGTTTCACAACATGTTCAACCTCCAGCTCATTTCTACCTGTTTTTGTCAGTCTGTGATGTGAATGGATTGTCTTGTGTGTTAGCTGCACATGTTCAGTAGTGTTAAGTGAGAGGGGCACCTGCCATCACTCCTCCCCAGCCTGAAACAATGAGGCTAGTTGCACTCTGTAGCAGATAGCTTTAAGTTGACATTTGTTGATTTTCTCAAAAGCCATGTGGCTATCATGGGACAAGAGTACATATGTAGAATTAAAACCGAACTGTATTCAGTAAATACAATTTGTGATTTAAGTGTATAGTGAAAAGTATTCTGTCATACATATGTATGAATGTAATGGTGGCTGAATGCCCTGTGGTTGTCTAACTTGAAAAGTGTCCTTCGCTTTCAATACATGTAGGGTAATATGAGTCATGTGTATTGTTCTAGCAGTAAGATACGACTCAGTTATGGAAAGCAGGACATTGGCTGCTGTAGCACTGAAACCATAGACAAATTGAGCAGTTCTGAACTATAAGTCATATGCTGTATAACTGAACGTCTTCTATATGGTAATGAGGTTTACTTATATGGTTTTTTGAGAAAATCTGTAATACAGTGCTGACCCTGTTCGTTACACGAGCTGACAATTACAGCTGATTAGAGATGAGTAACTTCAACCATATCCATTTGTCTTCTTGGTAAGAAGTAGTGTTGGGAATTGGTTAAAATCGCATAATTGATGATTGTTTCATTACAGCCGATCAATCATCGAAAAAATTGGTTAGCATCATTTTTCAAGTGTTTCAAACATTAAACCAGTAGTTCCAAAATCATTTGTGTTCGATTTTGAGAAAATGTGATCGATTGCTTGGTCGTTTGGTCACTGTGACCAATCTTCGATTATTTCAATTAATCGGAACACCACTAGTAAGAAGGTAGTTATTTTATATCAGAATTTAACCTGCTTATGGCAACTGTCCTCAAAATGTGAATGTGCCTGTTACTGTAGTGTGAGGACAGAGGTGGACAGTAAAGAAATCCTTGGAATAGAACAGTTTATTCTCTGCTTCAAAGGTTTGGACTATTCCAGTCAGGTAGTGGTGTTACTTATGGCACTGGTTGGGGAGGAGTATGTAAGAGAGGGCATATGCTGCCTTTCATAACAAGAGCACCTGTTACCATGCTCACAGGGCACATGCAACCTTGCTCACTTTCACCTGTAGCTTATACACACAATAAAATGTTTCCACTCTCACGATTCTGCTGTTTTCTTTACTTGAAGTTCAAATGGTATTTGTCACTCATTAGGGGTTTAATTTATGCTGTTGTTGATAGTTTTCGATTATTTATTTGTTTACACACATTATCTTTCAGTGATCACATGATTCTTAAGAAACTGTGGAGTGGGGGCATTGAATGTCACAGATTGCCATGTTGTCCAAGGTACAGTAATTTGCTGTGCAGAGTTATGCCCCTTGGGCATGCAAATTTCCAATGGTTCTGGGTTTGAATCCTGAGACACCCTGACTGATTCTTGGTTTGTCAGGACTAAAAACAACCTCTCTACTTCCACTGAAGTCTAAGATATGCATCACCTCAGGGTTTCCTCCAATATGAGGCTGACATGCACCACTGAAAATCAGTTCACATTAAACCAAACTCACTCACAAAAGAAGAAAAAACCCCGTAGTTCTTTGGTGTTTTTGCAAATTTCACATCTTTAAAGGATGACTAGTAGGTTAGGAACATTAATTTCTTGGAGTCTTGAAAATAAATTCAACCATGACTTGGAACGAGCTTGTAGTGGACATGAAATGTAACAGACAAAACCAACCTTGTGAAAAATATTGTTAATGCAAACAAGTGTTCCAGAATTGTTTGTGTTCGATTATGAGAAGACATGATCCATTTCTTGGTAAAGTCGGCTAAGGATGACATAAGTTGTTGCTAACAATTAATCACTGTTTTCCTGAGTTCAGGATTGATTATATACAGATCGCTCAAATCACAATAACAACTTGTGACTAAAACATTGTTCATAGGCATTTTGAAAATATATGTGTAGAAATGAGAGTAACGGTTTCTACAAAATTCAAGGTAAGTGTCTGAATAAATCATGGCAGAACAACAAAATAGAAATTGAGAGACTGCATTCCATGTTTTAGATTCATTCTTCTATATATGCAACTGTGACATCATCTTGTGCATCATGTGGCGTAATATAACAGTGTTAATGGGGGCCCTCAGGTGCCCTATTGTATGTGCACATACAGAAGTATAAACATAGATAATGGTTTTCATCATGAAATAATTTTAACCTCATGCTGCATTTTCTGTGCAAAATCCGTTTAGGTTATATTTTAGCATGTCTATCTCCAAATAAGTTTCCTTTTAGATACATAAAGAGATAGAAATTACAAGAAAAACAAAATAAACAATGTATTTGCTTTATTTTCTGTACATGGAGCTGTGAAGATGTCATGATTGAAGACAGCAACATGAACCAGCACTGGTTGACCTGGGACCGGTTCCACAAAGTTCTAAGATAATGTTAGTTAAAGTATAGGAGTCATAGTCACCTTAGTGCTAAGATCCCTTTGTGGAATGGGCCCTGGTTATTGAATGGTCACCGCTGACCGATCACTCCTTGTGACATCCACTCGCTGGTCAACAATAATTTTCAAACAGAAGCAATAACATGATCCTGAGAGTAGTTTGAGGGATACGCTGCATAAGTGTCACATGATATTCAGAAGCACTCCTGCATTGTGAATCCCCTTCTTACTTGGTTGCCCTGACAACACCACACACACCAAGGACTTTGGTCGAACGTTCTTTGCAATCCTCTTCACTCTTTTGTCTATTCTCTTCATATATCTGAAAACATGAGTTTCAATCTGATGAAAACGAGCAACACTTAGTGTATTAGTAAATGGAGGTGACATGAGTAGCATCATTCAATTTGTATAAGGGGTGGTGGGGTAGCCTAGTGGTTAAGGCGTTTGCTCATCACGCTGATGACCCAGGTTCGATTCTTCACATGGGCACAATATGTGAAGCCCATTTCTGGTATCCCCTGCTGTGATATTGCTGTTGTATTGATTGCTGATTGGTGCTTGCCTGTACTAGTCTGGACTAGTGCCAGGCTTATAGTGCATGCCAGACAATGGAGATATGTACCATGCTGCAGCTTAACATAGACACCACACTCGGATAGCAGATAATCGCTCAGTCAATTCATCTAGTTAATGTCAGCAATTATCTTTGGGTTCAGGAGACTAATCGATATTCATTAAAAATGAAACATGAAATTGAACTTTAGAAAGTATGTTTCTTATTGAAATGTTTGTTAAATCAAGACATAGACAACTGATGCCGATTCCTGACTGGTAAAACTGCAGTGAAAACAACATACTCCTGTGTCTGATGTAAATATCCTCGATCCTCTTGATTATACTATTAGTCAGTGCCTGTTTCGTTTGCACAATATTATGACACTGAGGTTTATGTGGTGGCGCGTGGTCCTGTGCTCAAAGCTCAGGTCACAAATCAGTGAAGTTAAGCAGTGTCGAGCTCGGAGAGTCCTTGGATGGGTGGCCGTGTTTGGCAGCTTGACTCTGAGATTTTCTAGGACTTGAGTCCTGCCCCACAACGAAGCACATGTGACACATGTGGTCTCACCTTAGGCTAATGAGTTTGTTCAAAATTGTCTCTGTTCACCCAGCAGGAAAATGGGTACCCGGTGGAAAAAAGTCATATGACTATAACCTTCTAGCGCCTAACAAGCAGCTTGGGTTATCCGGGGTAATAATGTGCTGTGCCTTGATTGTTAGCGCGCTATGAGAGCATACCTAGTGTGGAGTTTGGCGCTATATAAATGGACACATTATTATTATTATTATTATTATTTATGGTAGGGTTTACGATAACTGATTATCGACCTCTGATCTACATATTGTGAGCGATAACCAGAAATACACCCACACAGATTAAGCTGATGAGGTGGATAGAAAAATGCCAGGCAGTGTAACAACAAATACCATTTTTAACATCTTTTAGGTTTGCGTGGTGGGCGATCTGGCTAAGGCGCCAGGCTAGTAATCCAGCAAGGTTGAGGTGTTGGGATCGAGCCCACCTGTGACTGGGTGTAAAAACCTTGGAGTCAACTTTGTGTGCAGACTCTTTCAGTGTTGTCACAACCCCTAGTGTACAGTACACAACCCTGTGTACTTAAAAAAAACCACGAATCCGTTGGTATATGACCAGATGGTGGCCGTATGAATACGTGCAAACACCTAGTTGAGGGTACAGCAACGTGCAGTAAACTGGGACAAAATACTGTGACTATGTGTCCCAGTCCACCCAGCTGTGAAAGGGCACCTCGTTAGGATGAGAAAGGCACAATAACTCGGTTCGCCTAGTGGCTGCAAGAGTTGTATACTCCCCAGGGAGTTGAGATTGATAATACGATGTGCCCTTGAGATTGACATCCAATGATCGAGGGAAAAAATACCAGTGCCTTGAGCATGCACTAGTTGCCTTGATATGCGCGCTATATAAATATCCTTATTATTATGACCAGGGGATTGAAGCATGGCCCTCGACTTGCCTAGCAGACGTAATATCCACCATACCACAGAGGCATTCAACGAAATGGACCAGAACATAGGGACAGTTACAAACTGAACGAGGTCATGTAATGGCTGAATCGTCTCCCATGTAACTCTGAGATACCTACAGTTAAATTTCTGACTGAGTGAGATGGGTGTGATGCCACTTTGAACAATATTTTCCACAGTCAGTTTAATCTGTGTCAAAGATCGTTGCCACTTAGAGGAAATACGAATAATGATAATAGTGTTACCCCTATCAAAACTTGAGCAGTATAAATAACCAGTTCTTAAATCATACTTAATGTTGGAACATTTTGACATATTCAGTTTTGCTTCTAACCTTAATCAAGTCCTCGCTTTTCTTTTCCCCTTCCTCCTCTTTCTCATTGGCAGAATCTCCAATTTCTGATTTCCCCACAGATGCTGCTGTTTCTTCCTCCTCCCCTGACTCTGCTATTGCCTTCTCCTCCCCCGTGTTTGCAGTTTCTATTTTCTTCCTATGATTCAGTGCATGCAGCTGCACCCACACAAAGTCCTGCTTCTGTACTGCCTGTGACGCTGCCACCGTTCTGGCTTTGTCCGATGTCTCGGCAGAACAACACACGGACACATCTGACAGGTGTGTTGACAGCGTATCCGACTTATCAATAACTGTAGCTGTAAATGCCAATAACTGATTACTGTAAATATTAAAACTGATGCAAGACTGAATAAAAAGCGAAAAATGGGAATGGTCCTTTAAATTTCTCAATTATGTTTAAAAAATTACTTCACATGATGACATCACTTTTGGATAGCGAAAATACCACATGAAATATATAAAACAACTTTCTTTTTCATGTCACGGTATATTGAGCAGCAGTTTTAAAAAGTATTTACCAGTAACAATATGTTTGAATATAAGAAACTGCATAATGTTGACAGCATGTCCGATTTGTCAATGACTGCAGCTGTAAATTACACGTGATCTAAATTTTCCAGGTTTTCAACATTGTTCCAAGTGTATCTATTGAATATGAATAAAATGGAATTATTGATGACGGTGAAAATATTAAACAATGGTTTGCCTCGTGATGACATTTGGCATGCATAACACTAAATCTTTCAATCACTTGATTGTCTGGTCCAGACTGGATTATTCACAGACCCGCCATATAGCTGGAATATTGCTGAGTGCGGCATTAAACAACAATTAAACTAAAACCTTCAAATGTTGTATATCCATTTTAAATTCAATGGCAGGAAATCTGAGATCCTGGTAACCATGGAAATAAGTCCTGATATTAGTGTAGGTTTACAAACGTGTGAACCCTGGAGATGTAGAGGATGGGAGTAAATGCCTTATCAGTCTAGTATCTTCAAGTAAAGGCAGCGTTTAAAATTCCCGCCTGCCCGACCGTCCGGAACGGTCTATTTCATTTCGGACAGTTAAATTTCAAAAGTAGCCTGTCCGGTGGCTTGGGCGATATTTTTACCCTAACAGTAAATATTTCATTATATCAAACAGGTTCTCTTGTCGCCAGTTTGAAGTCTTTACGGTATTATGATGATTATGTTAAACTCTTTACGATTGGACAGTTCATGTTACGATAACCAATCACAACACATGTACTTTCAGTTTACCTAAACTCGGTGCACTACCTGTTAGTGCTATGGTTTGTTTTTTATTGTTGAAAACCGGACAGGCAAGTTTGTATCCGGACTGTTAATTTTTTAAAGTTACCAGTCCGGCTTTCTAGCTTGTAATTTTGGGAGTTTTAAACACTGGTATAGTGCCTGTAAGTCTCGCGAGGTGCTACTTCCGGTACTAAGCTGGCCCCTGGCTCCCTTTGCGTGCACCAACTTGCGATATGCAAGACAGGGCCCAGCTTACTTCCGGTACCGGATTTCTGGTGACAAGCTTATATTCAAGAACAAGTTCTGGTTGTGTATTTACAAGTGTACAACCATGCTTGGATGTCACAGCTGTTGACAGTCGTAATAGTTGGCTAATTTGGGAATGGTTAGATCAGAAATGTTATTCCTGCAAGGATTATCGGTTCCTTACTGTCAATGGACCATGAGACCATTTGAAACGGTATGAAACGTTGTTTGTCACCGGAAGTAGTAAGGTCTCGCGAAGTGCCGTGACTTACCCTGCCATATTCATCACGAATGACAACCTACCTGTCTTCTTGTCATCCATAATCAAACTCAGGAAATTTTTGTAGCATGACTTATTTTGTTGGAAGAACAATCGTCTCTTGTCCATCACCTGGGTGGCTGTCTCCACCTCTCCAGTCACATCATTGGCCACTCCATCTGCTGAGGGAGCTGCGTCTATCACAGACCGTGTTGCATCCCCGAAATCTAAACCTGTCGTCAGTGTATACCAGCACATATATTAAAAGTGAAAGATTCTTTGTTGGTTTAGCATCATGCTTCATTAGGTAGCCAGTACATGACTGTGAGGAATTAATACAGAAAACATCTCTTCCTACACCAAGTTTGATTGTTTTCACACTTGTTGGCACTGAAATACACCTTGGCCAGAATAGTGTCCAGGTGAATGAATAGTGTTTTATGCCTCAGTCAATTTCAATGCAACCATTTACTCTGATGCAGTTCCTCTTTACATGAAAAGCCATGGACACCGCAAGAATTTATCTCCAGCAAACTTTCTAATCAGCTAATTGATGCTGATGTTCTCAAATTCTCAGTGTAATTAAGAAAAGTATTCTGGCAATCTTGTGAAAGCTCAACTTGAAACAGCCCTGACCTTTCTGCAGTTTAAGCCGGACGAGTTCCATGGCGGCACGGGCATCTTCCACCGAGCAGTGGCCTGATTCCCCCGCCTGTATGTCCTGCCTGAATGATACAAAATGATGTGATGTTGCGATGCAATATAATGAAATAAATGATACAATGAAGCAAAAGGTTCCAGATCTCTGAAATTCTGCCAACCACCTACTGATAATGTTTCATAATATGGCAGCCACAGTGGCCTGTTCACGATCAGATCGGAAGTATGGCATCTTTACAATGCAGACTTATTTAATAATACTCAAAGATTTTTCAAAGAAAGGAATTAAAAAATATAACAAACCATCCTGTTTGACTTTCAGTATCATTTGATTCGAATACCTGCTGATTTTGTCCTTTTGTTGTCAGTCCTCCCTGCATTTGGATACACCACGTTTCTCCATCACCCACGAATATATATAAGGCTATGTGTTACAGTTGTTAATTGTCTGTTTGCAGTAAGCTAATGAAATGATGCTGAGTACAACTCATTGATGTCCAAAGAGCCCTGTACAATGTGTAATCCCTTCCATGTGTAGAGAAGAAAGATACAAGGCTATGGTACATTGGACAAGTTGGTCAGAGCACCCATAGAACCAGGCAATGACTTCGATCAAAATTGAGGTGAGGTGAGGTGAGGTGAAATTGGATTTAACATCGTGCTTGAGAATATTTCGCTCATATGATGTTTAATGCATGCGTGTGTATGTGCAATATTCCAGCTTGTACTAGCCCAGACTTAAGCTGGTTTTATAGTGCTAGCTCACTGAGATACCATGCCGCAGTGAAGCATGAATACCCCACTCAGACACAGTATACTGACTCCGAGCCGACCAGTCCTTGTTGTACCCATTAATGCCGAGCGCCAGGCAAGGACCAACAAGTACCATATTTTAACGTCTTTTGGTATCACGCGGTCGGGGTCGATCAAAATTGAACCTTCACTGGAAAGTATTATTTGTTTGTTTGATGTTTAATGCTGCCTCTCAGCAATATTCCAGCTATATGGCAGTGGTCTGTAAATAAGCTTGCTGGGATCTGTCAATCCAATGATCAACATCATGAGCATCGAACGGGATATGATGACGTGTGAACCAAGTCAGCGAGCCTGACCAGCCAGTCCCACTAGTCGCCTCTTATGACAAGCGTGGGTTGCTGGAAACCAATTCTAACCCGGATCTTCACGGGTTCACTGGAAAGTAAGGCCATGGAACATTGTTCAAGTTAGTAGGAGCTTATGTGGAAAGTAACACTATGTATGCAAGGGTGATGGAGTGAGTGAGTCAGTTTAGTTTCATGCCGCTTATAGCAATATTCCAGCAATAACACACCAGAAATGGTGATGGATGGACATGTAGACAAGACTGTGAAATAGTGACGATGACAGTTTGAGGTTACTGAACATACTTGAGGAAGTGAGCTGCAAGGACCTTGAGACCAGTCTTCTTCCACTTGATGCCAGACATGTTGTATATGACACTTGTATCGATCACATAGGGGTGGAACATCTGAAACATGTAACCATGGAGATTCGTGTCAGCTTCAGTCAGCAACATGGCAGCTCATCTTCCATAGAAATAATTTCATGCACATATTAGGAAATTTGTTTTAAACTTTAAAGAAGGCATTTTATTTTTATAACTTGAATGTTCATGACAATTATGTACACAAACTGTTATAACGTCTTGCTGATTGTGGTCATGACTGGTGCATAATTTGGTAAAATTATAAATTATTTGTTTGTTTGTTGTTTAACACCACACTCAGCTATATGGTGATGTTCTGTAAATAATCAAGTCTGTACCAGACAATCCAGTAATCAACATCATAAGCATCAATCTATGCTGTTGGAATACGATCACATGCGTCAACCAAGTCTGTGAGCATTACCAACTAATCCTGTTAGTCACCTCTTACGACAGGCATGGGCTGCTGAAGACCAAATCTAACTCGGATCTTCATGGGTCAAGAAAAAATCTTCTGAGTTTGGGCTTTAGCAATATTCCAGAAGGTAAAATGGACGATTTGATAATGGGGCATAATAGCAAATTGTGGGGCTACAACTGGATACTTATCCAGGGTAAAGTGTACCTTGAGTGCAAGAAGATCCCCATTGAGTGACTGCCCCACCCAAATGGCATCCGAGGGCAGGAGTTTCTTCAGATGTTTCTGAACATCCTTCAGCCGAGTCTTCACCGGCACCAACATCTTCTTGGTGATGCCACTGTATCTAAACACAGCACAGCAACCAGTTACTATGGTTACCAGCAATATATATATGTGATTGTATTTTTGTTTGTGCCCATTTCTTTCACTTGTGTGACAGATAATCTCACAACTTTAAGACAAATTCTGGATTCCATTCATTAGCTTCAATATTAAAATCAATATAGTTTTTCAAGACAGATTAAAAAATATCTAAACCAACCCTTGGGGATCAAATTGGATAACATTTTAAAAAAGGTTCAAAACAAGATTCAGGTTAACCGCTTCTACCAATGTTCTTGTCAAATATAAATTGTTCAAAATGGCTATGAGGCTGTTTTCTTGACAGATGCTTACTGGGTGAGGTAGTTTGTGATCCTGTTGAATGGTTTGACCAAGGTGTCATACACAGTCTCTAACTTCTCATTGATCACTGATACTCTTGTCAACTCGTTCTCTCTGGGCGGTCGTGAGACACTGAAAGTCACAACACACTACTGGTACATCATCCCTGTACACAAATCTCCTTGAAAAAAGCTTGTAACAAAATACCCATGCAATTTTTTTCTTGAAACTGGACATTATTGTTATATGGCATCCGTTGACAATATAAAGCGGCAGCCAAATATAGATATCTAAGCTTCAGAAATATTTGCACATCGTACTTTAACCTGAGACAGAAAGCTAACAACTGTACATCTGTTTAGTCTTACCATTTCACAATCTATAGCAAATAGTGGGCTTTTATTTGTCACAGATTTGTAACTCGTACAGCTGAACTTGAAATCCTTGTATCGATCTGAAATATGTAAATATGTTCATGAACCTTGTGGGGTTGCTAAAATAACACCCCATGAAAAATATTTCAGTTATGCATAAACAATGAGATTCCAGTGCCAAAGTCATTTTACAATTGACATACTATCACAATGGTAAAAATACCTGCAAAGGTGACTATTTCTGATATACATGTACAACAGTCAAACTGCCTGCAAAGGTCACTCTGTCACTGAGATACTATTACAAAAGTCACAATGCATGGTAAAAGCACAATACTTTCTTAGGGACCATTCATAATGTGTGTGTGTGTGTGATATGATTATGATGATGATTCACCCATTCTGTTCTGTGGATGTAGGGGTGGAGGGGGGGTCTCATCAATTTTGTACATGAAAATATTAAAAATTAAGCTTAAAAAAATAAGGGGAAGGGGATGGGGGTCATTGATTTTGTACATGATATACAAGTGGGGTCAGTTACATGCTTCTGCATAAAAATCATCATCACCTCACCCCCACCCAGCCCCTTGCCATAAATTATGAACAGTCCCTTTAAGATAAAATTTTAGTAGTGTTCATAATGTAGGCTGCAGTGCCGACCTTTCAGTGTGTTCACAGGCATGGGGTAGCCATCCTGCATCATCTGCATGGGATTTAGGAGCAGGCTGGTCCTATCAAAGTCTGGCACCGGCGTCGGTGTAGGCGTGTCTGGTACTGTGATGCCCAGGGATTGCTGCAGCTGCAACTGGGACTTGTGCACCCCATCAATATGATTCTTCAACTTAATTCTTCCCTCCTCGTCATTCACTAAAAATCAAGTGAAAAAGGTTGTGGTATCACATACATACATATTCCTTACAAATAGTGATAACATATACGGCACACACCAACCAATTCTACTCTAGATGTAAACTGTGACAATATCATGGCACCCTGTAAATAACTGAGTGAGTCAGTGAGTATGGTTTTATGCCACTTTTAGCAATATTCCAGCAATATGGCTGGGGACACCAGAAATGGGCTTCAAACATCGTACCCATGTGGGGAATCGACCCCGGGTCTTCGGCATGACAAATGAACGCTTTAACCACTAGGCTACCCCACTGCACCATTTTAAAGTCTTACAAACCATTGCTGGACGCCTGGTTGTGCTGACCGCCATGCCGGTGTAGTGGAAGGTCGCCCGAGACCGGATCCCCACTGCACCACTTTAAAGTCATACCAAATTGCTGGAGCGTTAAAATATGGTACTTGTTGGTCCCCTGCCTGGCGATCCGGCATTAATGGGTACAACAAGGACTGGCTTCGCATTAATGGGTACAAGGACTGGTCAGCTCTGAGTCAGTATAATGTCTCTGAGTGGGGTATTCATGCTTCACTGCGGCATGGTATCTCAGTGGGCTAGCACTATAAAACCAGCTTAAGTCTGGGCTAGTACAAGCAGCCACACATACACATACACATACACACGCATGCACGTCATCATATGAGTGAAATATTCTCAAGCACGACGTTAAACCCCATATCACCTCACCTGACCTGGTTGTGCAATGGCCAGGCTACTCAAAGTGACACCCATTCCTAATTCTAGTGTTTGTTTGTTGTATATTCCAGCCATATTGACAATAGCCTGTAAATAACTAAGTCTGGACAAGGCGACAGATGAGTCATTGATGTTTTCGGAGTAATCAGTGAGTAAGTGAATTTAGTTCTATCCCGCTTTTAGCAATATTCCAGCACCAGAAGAGGGTTTCACATATTGAACCCATGTGGGGAATCAAACTGGGTCTCCAGATTGACAATCAAACAATTTAACCACTTGGCTACCTCATTGCCCCTCCCACGTAATCAGAGCTAGATGACAGGCAAGGCAATTAGCCATGTCACAAAATCTGACCATGTGATTCAGACACCTTGTTTTGTAAGTGAGTGAGTGAGTGAGTTTAGTTTTACGCTGTGCTCAGCAATATTCCAGTCTATATAATCGAGTCTGGACCAGACAATCCAGTGATCAACAGCATGAGCATCGATCTGCGCAATTGGGAACCGATGACATGTGTCAACCAAGTCAGCGAGCCTGACCACCTGATCCCGTTAGCAGCCTCTTACAAGCATGGGTTACTGAAGACCAATATTCTAACCTGGACCTTCACGGGTGATTGTAAGTACAGGTTACCAGGGACTTGTTTTAACCCAGAATCCTGACAGGGGCCAACTTTTGTATGCTCCCATGACAAGCACGAGGTACTGGTGGCCTACACTAACGAATATATATAATTTGATTGAAGGAGACCAGAGATTCTGAACCTGGGGAAATCTAGACTTCATTTAGGGCTTTAGCATTGAGGGAGGGCTAGGCTGTAGGGAAAATAATATGATTCAGGGACTGTGAGACAGACTACTGGTGACCAGCTGAGTCTCACAAATATCCAGCTCATTAAAGCACAAACAACATAACGGGATGGAGCAGGCTGTAAACATGACACAATAACACAGGACAACTAACTCACTGGCTTTAGACTTGATGGTGGCCCTGCTGACGGGGACATGGAAGACATCCTCCATTACTGAGCTGCCATATTGGTAGGGGGAGATCATCTCTGTAAACTGAGAAAACAAATTCACATCAATAAGTAACTAAGCAAATATTTTTATGCCCAGGTTACTATTCATGTAAGTATACAACTAATATTCCACTAAGATACTAACTTCTTCTTAAAGGACAAAAAGAGGTCAAAAGGAGTGATCACTGTGTAACTTGAGCTTGTGTGAATGTGAGGGACTGAGCTGAGGTCTTTAAACAGACATAAAGATGTTTGAGACAGTTACATTTAAACTAACTACACATCAAAATTTATTTGAGAATTACGTGTTGAAAGTATATACTATCAACCTAATAACAAAAAGAGGAAGCATGTTCAAGCTTGGTAGATCCATAAAATGTCAAAATCAAGTCTTCAGCCATAGTTTTTCTTACTATATCAAATGTTTTCTTCATAAAGGGAAAGCACTCTTGGTGTTCTTCTAGATCGTTAGAGCTGAGTTGGTCTATCACTATGACAACCACTGATGCCACCTTCCTTGGTCGTGCCAACTTACACCATCTGCAGAAACAAAGCAAGATAAACCAGGAAGTGGAAACAACATTTGCTGAACATGCTTTACCAACCTGATAATAATCAGAAGTAGTAAAGGTGAAAACCTGTTAAGATCCGGGTTAGAATTGATCTTCAGTATCCCATGCTTGTCGTAAGAGGCGACTAACGGGATTGGGTGGTGAGACTCGCTGACTTGGTTGACACATGTCATCGCATCCTAATTGTGTAGAACGATGCTCATGATGTTGATCACTAGATTGTCTGGTCCAGACTCGATTATTTACAGACCGCCGCCATATAGCTGGAATATTGCTGAGTGGGCGTTAAACAACAAACCAACCAACCAAAGAAAAGGTGAAAAGTGTCATTCTAAGAATGTGTTACTAGTAAAGCCATATTGATCTTATTGATCTTGTTCCTGGGAACATAGCCTCTAAATGTAACTATAATCTTCGTAACTCTGATGATGTCTCACTTCTTTTCTCATGATTAAAATTTTCGTATGATTTGTATTTTCCATCCACAATTAGAATGTGGAATGAACTTCCAGTTGAAGTGAGAAAAAAGGTGTCATTGAATTCTTTTAAATCTAATATTGTTATAAAACATAAAACTGCTCCTCAATACTTTGATTTTGGACCGAGAATCACTAATATTATCCTTACAAAACTATGTTACACGTGTAGTCAATTGAAGTATGATCTATTCTGTGCTGGTATAAGAGATAACCCAAGTTGTTCTTGTGGAAATGTTTGTGAAAATTCTTATCATTAACCTATTTGACTGTCAATTATATACGGTACAGAGAGAACTACCATGATGACTAATTTATGCAGTGTTACCAATGTGAATATAAACTATGAGTTACTATTACATGGCAATGCAGATCTGACTGTTCACATAAATCAAAACATATTTAAAATTGTTCAAACATATATTTGTCAATCAAAACGATTTTCTTAATTGTTGCAATTGTTCCACTCTTTCCCATCGTTCTGTTCTTCTCGGGGGCAGTGGGGTAGCCTAATGGTTAAAGCGTTGGTTCGTCACGCCGAAGACCCGGGTTCGAATCCCCACATGGGCACAATGTGTGAAGCCCATTTCTGGTATCCCCCGCCGTGATGTTGCTGGAATATTGCTAAAAGCGGCGTAAAACCAAACTCAGTCAGTCAGTCTGTTCTTCTCTGTCCATTTTGTAGAATGAATGTAAATAATACTATGTAAAAACTATGGAGAGGGTGTTCTAAGTTGTAAAACTTGTACCCAATCCTTTTCTCATGAATAAAATATGTTTAAAACAAACTTGTAAAGCCAAAGAAACTGATGGGGGTGTGAGATGAAAAGGGGGGTAACCTCGCATTCAAGGTTACATTGCTTATGTTGCGGCCCTCTTGCCTGTGTGTGTATGTGTGTGTGTACGTGCATGTATTTGCTTGTACTAGTCGTGACTTATGCTGGGCCAGTCAAGGTACCATGCTGCAGTTTAATATGGACATGCCACTTAGACACAGCACACCAACTCCAAGCCAAACAGTCGTTGTTTTGTCTCTTTTATCATGTTCCAGACACCAGACAAGGTAACAGAAATTATCATTGGTAACATATTTTGGTAACATTGGGCAGGGGATCGAACAAGTGAGTGTGAGTTCAGCTCTCTCGACAGATAGACCATGGTGGCCATCAAATTTGATGGTCACAAGGCAGTCAACAAAATACATAGATGGCGACTTATTAATGCATTAATTCTGACATCGCACAATCCATCATTTATGATTAAGACTGACTGACTGAGTATGGTTTTACGCCATTTTTAGCAATATTCCAGCAATATCACGGCAGGGGTCACCAGAAATGGGCTTCACAAATTGTACCCATGTGCAGAATCGAACCCGGGCCTTCGGCGTGACGAGCGAACGCTTTAACCACTAGGCTACCCCACCGCCCCTTATGATTAAGAATGTGTATGATGAAGATAAAAGTGTTGTTGTCACAAACAACAGATTAAGGGACTCCCTTGATTATGGTGGTGTGTGGTCCTGTGCATATGGCTCAGATCACAGATCAGTTGAAGTTAAGCAACGATGAGCGCAGAGAGTCCATGGAAGTTGGATGGGTGACTGTGTTTGGCAGCTTGACTCCTTAGAGCAGAGACCATATAATAGATCTATTATATGGTCTCTGCTGAGAGTTTCTAGGACTTGAGTCCTGCCCCCACACCTTAATTTTTTCAAAATTGCCTCTGTTCACCCAGCAGAAAATGTCATGTGACTATTAACCTTCTAGTGCCTCACACGCAGCTTGGGTTATCCGGGGTAATAATAATCAGAATGTGATTCAGCGCCATTGAGCACTGTATGTGGAAACTAGGCGTTATACAAATCCATTATTATTATTATAATACTAATAGCGTAATACCTCAATGGCCTCACTTTATTTCTAACAATGGCTACCACAGCAGATTTTGGCATCTTAATGAAGCAACAAAGCCAACCACAATTGGATACAAAGAGAGAATCCATGTGTTCTTGTATAAAGCTGCATACCTTGGGTAGTATTTATATGAGTCAGGCAACAAAGCAAAGGTCAACAAATGTTGCAAATCCAACATAAACAAGGGAGGTAACTCCTCGTCTGCTTTAATGGGCACGTGTTTGTTTCTTTGTTGTTCCAGCAACTCCTTGAGTGTCAGATACAGAGCTGGCCATTCCTGTAGGAGACAATAACTTTGTATGAGGCTTTCAGAAGATGTAATTTCTAAGGCAGTTCTAAAAGTAAGTATGTAAAACTAAGAAACACAACTTATGCAAACAATGGGGACAAGAACAAAATTCTTGTTTACCACAGAACTTATCAAAAGTGAGTGAGTTAAAATTTATAGTCACATCGGCAATATTTCAGCCATATTGTGACTTAAAAAGTTATAAATTAACAATAAACACAATTACATTATAAAACACCTGTTGACAAAGGACAGTAAAACAACTAGATTACCACAGGAATAAATTTAAGACTAGTAATTAAATCTAAAAAAAATATTTTACCTATAAAATGACAGTACAATATAAAAACCGGCCATAGATTGCCAACAACTGAAGGTAGATCACCACACTAGGGACCATGGGGACTTACAGTACATTTGCTTACTTATCAAAAGCTTCATTATTAGGCTTGAATATACTTCTTATGAAAGGGAATAAAAAAATGGATAAGCTCTGGACAGACAATTTTTTAAAGATAACATTTAAACCACTGGATGACCTAAATGGCTAACATCTAGTTGACTGGGAAATTGTCTGTACAACAGGGTTTATACAAAATGTCATAGTATACCGCTGTATCTTTCTTTTCTGGTTTGCTTAATCTTCTTTTTTCTTTCAATCTTTGTTTCTTCAGTTTGTGAAGTAGTTGCTTCCTCTTCCCCATTAAATCTGAAAGACTGCTACCTTCTGTGACTTTGTTAGGCGATGAACCATCTTGCATCTCACTTTCAGTCATCTTTATCTGGAAATACTTTCATGAATAAATCTGCGGAGGAGCTCACTAGGCTCAAACTGTCTTTGAGGAGTGAAAATGTATGCAGGAGCGAAATGTATGGTTGTAATAAAACATATTAGCAATATTTCGGTTTTATTCAGGCTAGTAATAGGCACTTACTAATATCCATAAACCATCCACTCTGTGCACTTTTAGCCATTAGCAGCAGTATCATTACTCTCAAGGCAATTTATTGTAAAGTGTATATCTACTATAATTTAGTCTAACAGTCAGGTCATAATTATCATGATTATAGTCAAAATATCATGATCAAACCCTACTGATATAATGCCTAAGGACACAGTTTCAAAACTTATGTTATTCCATAACCATTATTCTAACATGACAGAAATGATCCTTAAAATTAGATTCACACCACTGTTAGCCAAGTTTAGGGACCGTTCATAGTGTGTGTGTGTGTGTGAGTGAGAGAGAGAGAGTGTGTGTGTGTGTGTGTGTGTGTGTGTGTGTGTGTGTGTGTGAGAGAGTGAGAGAGTGTGTGAGACATCTACTCTGTACACATGTACAAGGAGGGTCACCAATTTTGTACATATGGATAATAAAAAGTTATGCATAAAATTATGGGAAGGGGGCAGGGGGCCATTGTTTTGTTTTTACATGACATGGGGGCACTTACTTTGTACATTAAATTTAGGGGTGTGTGTCATTCACATTGTACATGCATCTCCATTAAAACATTAAAACAATCAAATCCTCCCTCCCCCTACATTATGAACGGTGCCTTAGTGGTGATTACAATTTTCATTACAGTGGGCGATACCAGAAATAATTCTGTCTGTTTTTATATCGTCAGTATTACAATTAACAACTATATCTGGTAGTAATCACTGTAATGAACTTTAAGGTGAAATATAAACTATAGTGAAATGATGGTAAACAAGTATAAACAATGGTTAAACTTACTTTTTTGTGTCGTACACCATCGGTCCCCCGGAGTAAATCGATCAAAGCTTCGGCTTTACGTTTCTTGTTTGCCAGTCTTTTATCACGTTTACTCATCCTGACAAAGTCTGATATCACCTTTGAGTTTTCCATTTTTCATATAGGCATCTAGTTGCTTCGTAAAATTGTCTTTGAATATCTAAAATTAGGCACATGGCCTACATGAAGAACCATGTGTTTTTGTTGACATCACTGGGAGCTGACATATTGGATCTTACAAAATCGCACCGTGACGAAAAGTTCGATTCGCGTTTTCCTTTACTAGCTTTTTGCCTTGTAGAAGTTTCTGTTAACATACTAATGTAATAAAACACATTCTAATATATTTGAGAACTAAGCAAAGGAATATTGTGACACAAGCACAATGATTGAACAAAAGTAAAAAATGTCCATATTTCGTTTTATATTTCATGTTTTTATCAAACCCATTTCTCGCTGGGTGCGATACTTAGCAATGGCGGCTAATTTGAGTCTCAAACAGTACTGTGAAACCATAGACATTCCTATATCAGTGCATGTAGTTATCTAATTAACGGTCAATGGTGTGTTTGGGGTTTGCAGATGTGTACAGAGATGAAAACAACCAAAGAACTTGCACGGTAATGTCTCTGCGGTCATGACAATATGCTTATAACGAAATGGCTAACTCGTACCTAAAATTCTTGCAAGATTCGTACCTGTTTTTGAACATTTGCACCTTTTATTTTTTATCCGTGCTCATATATAGATGATTCAGCAACAATTCTAGATTGACCCGTATCCATTTCCTTTATGTCCGAAAGTAGATTCCATTAACCGCTACCGGTATAAACTGTATTTAGATCTGCACATTAGATTTCTTATAATCACATATTCCTGCAGTTTCATACCAATTTATTCTTAACACTATTACTTTTAGAACATTCATTATACATTTCAGTCTTTCAAATTAGAGATATTTTTGCTGGACATTATGGTGATCATTTCTAAAAGCGTCTGTTTGGAATTTTGACAGTGCACAAGACTTGGTATCTTTTAATAGTTTATTGTTCAGTATTGATGGAAATGAATTTTTTAATGCTGAAACTAACAAATATCCTTTCTATACAATTGAGTGGCCCCTGGACAACTGCCAGGCTAGTCTCTAATTGTTTAGGCAAATTCACATGATAGTTCATATTGTCACAAGGAAGAGTGGAACTGAAGGGGTATATAACTGTCAAGTGACTATTATGGAATGGATGGAATTTGTTCACTACCTTTTGACCTGTGAACACAAATCTAACTTGTGTGTAGTTTAAATATCAATATTATGATATATGTTACATAGTTTTTTCTTTATTTGCAGTGAGCTGGGACTCCTGAGAAAACGTTATATGCCAAGAGTACAAAATGGAAAACAAGATCAGACGAAAAAGCCAAAATTGTGCATAGGTGATATGATCGAAATTGTGATAAGCACCTTCACCATGTTCACAATTAACTGAATGGTTTCATTTAGTGCTCTCATTTTATGACTGAAACATCAATCACTTGTTTGTTCTTGTATTTAAAAGCAAGCTGAATATATAGTAGACATGAGGAATAGACAGGTGATATAATCAAACATTTTATTCTTTCAGGTCAGGTATTTTCATATCTTGTGGTATTGGATTTTGAATCAACATGTTGGCAAGATGGAAAGTTTCGCACCCAAGAAATCAGTAAGAATTTCAGATTCATACACATCAATACCAGGATGATCATACCATTCACATCAATGCACAGCGATGCTTTGCCTTGTAATTTACGACTTAAAGTTTCCAATTACCTTTCATCTTTTTTTAGTTGTACTGTTTGTGACAAAAGAAATGCAACAAACAAAATATATTCCAAGCCCTGCTAACAGTTGCAGATTCTTTGAATAACATGAGACAACCTGTTTGCCCGTTTCTAAATTTAGTGTTATCAGAATAACAGAGATGTTATTGAATGTCATTGAATGTCACATAATGGTATAATATAATCATCACATGTAAATAATTGCACACATTCGGTGTACAAAATAGTTTCCAAAATTTGTCGGGCTAGCTATGCCTGAAAGTTACTAGCCAACAAAATAATTCATTAGCCCAAAAATTGAATGTCGTAACTAAGCTGCTAATATGATGGACATTTTTATCAGGCCATAATCTTGCATGATATAAAAGTGTATTATAACTTGGCCTGACTGGATTTTTACTAACCGTGGGCCAGTGGCTATTTCGCACACTGCACATTGAATGTGACTGCTGAATAGCTTCACTAAAGTGCATGTTGTACATGTGTTGTCGCTGATGCAAGTGCATAGTTTGAAACATGCCACTTATAGCCCAGCAGTGAATGGGTACCTGGAAGGATGAGATGGCAATGTGAATGTGAACCTTCTACTTCTAGTGGCTTAGATTGTATACTCCCTATAGAGGTGAGAATGAAAATCAAGTGCTCGTCATGATCCACTAACTGGGGTCAAGTGTTCCACTTCATCATACCAGCTTCTAAATGCCACTTAAGGAAGTTAACTGGGGCCATACTGTAGAGCTCTGAGACCATCTCCATGGTGTAGTGGTTAGAGCATCCGCCCGGAGACCAGAACCTCACAGGTTCGATCCCCGGCCGCGTCATACCAAAAGACATTCAAATGTGGTACTTGTTGGTCCCTGCCTGGTACTCGGCATTAATGGGTACAAGGACTGGTCGTCTCGGAGTCAGTATAATGTGTCTGAGTGGGGTATTCATGCTTAACTGTGGAATTGTATCTCACTCAGCTACTCATTCTCAGTAAGCTAGCACAGAGACCGTATCAAAACCTACAGTTCTCTACACCATCACTTCACAGGACCCTCGTATTGCTAGCAAGGACCCTTAGAACTTATACTTTGGGGTTCCTGTAATATTCACATTAAATATGCAATTTTGTCAGTTGGTAATTGATTTGATTTCTCCATCATGATATTAAATTAATTAAATGTAAGTGGTGTTGGTTTTTTTCATAATATGTTTTGACCATTCATAAATGAGTTTAAGTTGAGAGTGTGAAATATATTGGACATATGTACATGCAATATATATTCTTCCAGTTGAGTTCCCAGCAGTGCTGTGTAACACGAGGACGGGGCAGATAGAGAGTGAGTTTCACCACTATGTCCAGCCACACGAACAGCCAGTGCTCAGTGACTTCTGTAAGCAGCTCACTGGAATTACACAGGTAGGATTGCCATTGATCCTTTCTTGTAGATTCTAAAGCAGAACTAGGTATTTTTCCTTATCCTGACTCATGCTCTTTTGCTTGTCTTCTTCTTCTTAAGCGAACATAGTGGAACACTTGTATCTCCTTATTTGAAGCCCCTTCAAAATAAAATCACTAATTGGTACTCACCACGAGTTGCTCCCTTTGTCTCCCCTGGGGAAAAGGTGTCGCCACCCTCTGGCCATGTGCTCCACTCTCCTTCTTCGCCCAGTGAGCAGGATGTGAGAGCCTTTGTGTCTCCTTACACACATATCCTTTGATAATCTCTTAGTTTTACCTCTCATAGGTTACTATAGAGGTATAGCTAGTATCCTTTACTATTTGTATTGATTAATTATCGTATTTCTACTGTTTATTCACGTGTATTCGCGGATTGTTCAGCTAGCTTTACGCTCATGAAAATCTGTACGATTTGTAGATTACGTTTTTCTGCCTCCGATCCACATGTAATATGCCCTAGTTGTTCTACTGTGCGCTTAATTCACGCTTGCAGTTACTGCATTAATTTATCTCATTCTGCATTTAATAAATATCATCTTTAAGCGCCTTTAAGACGCTGCAGATAGATCACGCAAACAAGGGCAAAACATGGCAGAGAGTCCAGATATTCCTTCCAGTCAGCTGCTAGCGATCGAACCTCTCTCCCGCCTGGTGTTCTGCTAGAGACCTGCGCGCAGAGGAACGGGACGCAGTCCGTTACTCAAGAAACGACCGCCTCCCCAGACATCCCGCCATTGCAGACTAAGTCTAAGAGGGCCTCATCGCCGCCTCAACGCAGATTGAGGACACTCCAGGGCAGCGCAGACTTCCAAAGGGAAATCTACGAAGACAGCAAGAACTTTCAGCCGAGATCGCTCCAGCAGCAGAGTTGGGCCTCTACGATGATCAGCCGATAATCATCCCCGACTTACGGCAGAAGAAGAAGCGACCGTGTCAGCGACTGTGACTTCTGCAGAGATCTCCATGCAGCCTGATGCCTCTACACCGACGCCAGACGCCATTGATGTGAACCCCATCGCAGAAAAGACGCCGACGACTTCGCCACAGATCATCCCAGAAGACATGATGCGCAGATTATGAACATCATGGAGGACCACTACAAACCGCGCAAGCAGGGTCCGAGTTTTCGCTGGCGCTGAAGGCTCCAACGACAGCACCCCAGAGGCACCCCCGCCAACGAGCAGCCAAGACGATGTCACCTTCGCTAAGGAAGTCCCGCACCACCTTGACGGCGACCTAGATGTACAGCCTTCAAGGAAGGCCTCGCTAAGGCGGAGAGATCATCACCATCTTCGATTTCATCTCTAGATATGGACTCAGACCATCAGACATCACGGAAGCCTTCGCTAAGGTCATATCATCGATCCCCGGACCGACGCTAAATGAAGCTTCGCTAAGGCATTCGCGAAAAGACATATGATTCCAGATCTTCATCGCCTAGAAGAACATCGAGGGATGCCAAGAGCTTCGCTAAGCTATCAACATTCACCTCACAAGTCTCCCGAAGATCATCCCATAGACGATCTCCACTCCGCTTCATCACCAGGTCGATCACCCATCAGATCTCCACATAGAGCGCGACAAGTCAACTAGATCGCCACAAACCTCATCAGATATTCAGACAGCTACACGCAGTCCCCAAGAGCATCTACAATTTATTAATGATGATGGTTTTGAGGATGATGGAGGAATCATATTTTCTGATGCAGAGATACGGTATTGATGGTCAATAACCTAGATCTCACATCACCATCTAAAAGTGGCAATACAGCTCAGACGATTTGATGAAGGAAGATGATCCAGATGCAATCACTCTACCCCGATCGACCCGATTGCATGCAGTGCCACAGAATCTAGATGCAGCTTTCCAGAAAGCTACGAAAGTTCAGATACCACATCTACCCAACTTTCAAGCCAAGAAGTTCTCCACGATAACATGGACTCCTTCTACAAGGCTCCAGGACATCGATGAGAACTATAAGATCATCAGCGATGTAAAGAACAAGATTTACAAGATGGATGATCGCAAGTTGGCTCATATAGAAACCATGACGAGACGATGTTCTTTGGGTTAAATAGATCTAGGACGCATCAATGAGACTCTTATTACTAGATTCCGGATTCCACGACGGAAGATGATAGAATGATTTATTCTGCCTTACTTATGCAAAAGAAAGATCAGCAGTTTTAACGGATCATCTTACATCTGTTTCAGCAGCATTCGACCTTAGCTCGTCGTCAAGGCCTCCTCGCCTCCTGTAATTGGGGGGAGAACTTTACAGCCCCACTTTATACAGCCCCGTGGTCGACAACATCCATCTTTGACGGAGAAATCGACAAGGTCGCCAAGGAAGTCTCTAAGGATTCCAGGGAAGTCCTTATGATTAGATCGATGGACACACTAGCCAGCGCCATTCGTCAGACTTCACAAAGATACTCAGGCAGATCTAAGTTCACGGGCCTACAAAGAGCAAGAGACAGGAAGATAGCCAGCTCTAGAGGTAAGATTCTTTCGTCGCCCATATGGCAACTATAGAGGAGGATCAGGAAGAGGCAGGACACCCAGAGGTTCCCGCAATTATAGACGCTGAAACACAGGTTCGGAACGACTGGAGTCTTCCACCCCCAGCCGTTCCAGTACAACCAGCTCAAGTGGGTGGACGCCTCCAACTACACTGGGAAAACTGGGGAATACTGCAAGATCCTTACGTCTCCAACATTATTCAACACGGATTTCGTATCCCTCTACAGGACAAGCCTCCGCTGACAATCAAACCCCCCAAGTTCGATTTACAAGCGCAACAACTACCAAAGATAAAAGAGGCTGTCTCATCACTCCTATCCAAACAGGCCATAGAAGTAATAGATCAAGCAAACGTCGAACCAGGTTTCTACTCCCCAGTTTTCCTAGTTCCCAAGAAAAACTCCACGGAGAAATACAGACTCATCTACAACATGAGCTTTTTCAACAAGAACTATCTACGCAAACCACCGAAGTTTCGCATGATACATTTACCTCAGTTACGCCAGATGATTCGTCCTATGGACTACATGGGCAGCATAGATCTACAGGATGCCTACTTGCACATCCCCATTCATCCCGATTCCAGGAAATACCTACGATTTACTCTAGAAGGGCTACATTACCAGTGGAAAGTACTCCCATTCGGAATATCATCAGCCCCCTGGCTATTCACGAGGATAACGAAACCGATTATCAAATTTCTACATCGTCAAGGGCTACGCAGTGCGTTTTACCTCGACGACGGGATACAAGTAGATCAAGATCCACTGCGTCTCAAACTACAGTTAAATTACATCATAAAGCTACTAACACAACTAGGTTGGTTAGTAAACTTACGCAAGTCGGACCTAGTACCATCGCAAGACCTACAGTTCCTAGGTATTCGATTCATCACAAATCGCAACCGTATTATGGTACCAGAAGACCGTTGGCTCAAGATACAACAGACCATTCCACCAGCTCTACTCTCTCCGTTACCACTGCGACAATGGCAGAGCCTACTAGGTCTTCTCACATCAGCCCAAGACATGACTGTCACAGGCAGATTACAGTTACGTCCCCTACAGGTCCTCATCAACGCACATCTCAACGATGTACAACCATTCAGTCTACCGAAACATCTCAGACCACATCTACTATGGTGGACCAAGAAATCGAATGTCTGCGAAGGGATTTGTTTAGCAGAGCAGGAATACAAAACCCATCTGTATGTAGACGCGTCACTCCAAGGTTGGGGAGCTCATCTCACCAACCACACGATATCAGGGTTATGGAATCAGCAAGAATGCAAACTCCATATAAACAGTCTAGAAATGAAAGCTGTAATCAACGCCATTCTACATTGGAGCACATTTCTACAAAATGCGCGCCTAATGATCCATACAGACAATTCGACAGTGGCGTTCTACATAAACAAGCAAGGCTCAACGAGATCGATGAACCTTTTGAACCTAAGCTTTCAACTGTTCGATTTAATACAAGATCTAAATCTACATGTCAAAGCAGTGCACATTCCCGGAGCCAGAAATATACTAGCAGACGCTCTCTCTCGGCCTCATCTACCATCACCGACAGAGTGGATGATCAACCGGGAAATTTTTGCACAGATAATCAAGCAATTAGGAGCGCCGCTAATAGACCTATTCGCCACGCGATTCAACAATCAGCTACCGACATTCGTGTCACCAGTCCCAGACCCCCAAGCTTGGGCAACGGACGCTCTAAGTCTATCATGGGAAGGCCTCAATGCGTACGCGTTTCCGCCGCCAGCAATAATACCTCAAGTATTACAGAAAATCAGACAAACACAGAGCCTACAACTCACTTTGGTCGCGCCCTACTGGCCGGCCAGAACGTGGTTTCCCATACTAATTCAAGAAATCGGTCAACCAACACTGGAGCTACCCAAGCGCGCAAACCTGTTAATTCATCCTCACACCAAACAAGTGCACGGAAACCCAGCAATGTTCCAACTACACGTATGGACTGTATACAAATGTGTTTAAACAAGAGAGGATATTCTGCCAGGGCGGCAAAAGCAGTCACGCTTGCTTTACGTTACTCAACTCGTAACTTGTACGACGACAAGTGGCACAGTTTCGAAAATTATGCAACAAAGAAAGGGTTTACAGCAAGAGAGGCTTCACAACCTCAAGTGGCAGACTATTTGTGTTACCTACGCCAAAACAAACATTTAAAAGGTTCAACGATATCAACATATCTTGCCGCGCTTAGCTCTGTAATCACCATGAGAACGGGTGTCAAATTGACAAGATCTCCAGAGTTACTGGCCTTACTACGAGCTTTCCGATTGGAGGACCAAAAGCGGAAGTTCCACGCCCCAGCTTGGGATCTGAATGTAGTGTTACAACACCTCACGAGTGAGGTCTATGAACCCTTGAATCGACAAACTTTGAATTTCTCTCACAGAAAACATTGTTTCTGCTATCGCTAGCCACAGCAGCAAGAATGTCTGAAATTCACGCTCTGGATTACGAGAGGATACAGTTTGATGACAATCATAACACAGCGCACCTCGGATTAAGATGGGATTTCATTGCAAAGAATCAACTGCCAGGTCAACCAGACAGATTATTCCACATCCCGGCGCTATCCTCTATTCTCGGATCACAAGATACACAAGACCTATCACTGTGTCCGGTAAGAGCGCTCAAAGTTTATTTACGACGATCCAAAACAAGGAGAAGATTTCTCAAACGTTTATTCATCCCATTATCGCCTACGAATCAAACAGAAGTGTCACGGACCACAATATCTATTTGGATAAGGACTGTCATTCTCCGTGCCTACAAGGCAGCAGGTTTGGACCCACCAACAGCATCAAATCCACATGAGATCAGGGCACTGGCCTCTACCCTCGCCCTACACGGTAACTGTTCCTTGAACACGATTATGGAAGGATGCTATTGGAAATCTAACATGGTATTTGCTAATCACTACCTAAGAGACATCACTACAGAAGATGTCTCTGGCATTCACCATTTCGGACCACTGGTCCTCGCTCAGCAACTGACAGTCCCTCGTAGGCGTTAAAATATTAGCCTCACAAGATTAATATGTATTTTATACATACTCATCTAGCTTATAACTCTAAGGAGTTTTAGGGCTATGTATATATGTTCAGCTTAAGTATTCTACCTTAAGCATATACTTGATATAGTCAATTTCAGTGCCTCTATCAGAGTCACCTATATATATATATATATAATTTATATGTATTGTTCAATATATTCATAATGTAATTCCCTTTAATGGCTTTATATAACCTATGGTTTTCTTTATACAGGATACATCCTAAATCTAAGACTTCATGAAGTTCCCGTAGGGGATATTACAGTATATCTATACAAAATCACTAATTATAAATCCAAAGTATTCTGTTACCCACCTCCGTTCCGTAGGATGCTACAAGCAAAAGAGCATGAGTCAGGATAAGGAAAAATATGTAATTTTTAGAGTAAAATTGATATTTTATACTTATCCTGACTCATGAGGTTAGCCCTCCCATCCTCCCCACATAACACTTTGGATTTCCCTGTAAATTCAAGTGTTGGGCTCGCTAAATCAGGAGAGAGTGGAGCACATGGCCAGAGGGTGGCGACACCTTTTCCCGCCAGGGGAGACAAAGGGGAGCAACTCGTGGTGAGTACCAATTAGTGATTTTATTTTGAAGGGAGCTTCAAATAAGGAGATACAAGTGTTCCACTATGTTCGCAAGAAGAAGAAGACAAGCAAAAGAGCATGAGTCAGGATAAGTATAAAATATCAATTTTACTCTAAAAATTACATATTTAGTTATTAGTAAAGACATTTTTCTTACTCAGATATCCACTTCTAAATAAAGTTAATACACGTCTATGCTCATGGGAACTAATGTTTAACAAATATTTTTCACAATTAAGCAAAGACTTATGAGAATTATAAAATGCGAGAGAGAATCACTCTGAAGAGAATAGTGCCAGTTCTGATAAGCACATTCTTTAACACGTTGACTAAAAATATAAATGAAATGATCTGGATCCCCAGCCTCTTGGCTTATCCAAACAAAACCATAGCCATAACGAAAAGTAAATATTTACTTTGATGGGCCCAACTTCGGCCTTTTCTCTCAAGAATGGACAACAGCATATTATAACATTGGAAAGCATATCTTTGGCGTTGCATTCTTAACAATGCGTAGCCAATACTTAATACATTCAATATGATAGGAAACATAAAGTGGATATCTTCCACACTCCCCGTATGATACAGCATTCGACAATTTATAACTAATATGGAGAACAAATTTACAAAACTTCCTATGAATAATTTCAATATTACTCCTTTCTTCCCAACCCCAAATTTCAGCCCCTTATGTAAGAATTGAGTAATCTTTTTATCAAATAAAAGAGCATCTTTTACTGTAAATTCAAAGCGTCTGATCAAAGATTTTATAGGCCATAATGCTTTACTTGCCTGCTCAGCTAATGTTTTACAGGCTCTAGTCCATATCAATTTTGGCGTTATCATTAACCCCAAATATTTATATGCATTTACTATTGCCATAGGATTCCCATTAAAGAAGAATGTTTCATATTTTGACAGAGGCCCACCCATTTTAAAGACAATTATTTTACTTTAGCTAAATTAATGTCCATACCCCATCTATAAGAATAATTATGTAGGGCATGCAATCGCCTTTGCAACTTAACAACGCTATCTGCAATTAGTATCAAATCATCAGCAAACAACAAGGCAATAAGGTTCAACATTTCATTGGATATAAAGATACCATCATCAAATTGGCTCTGCAAATCACACACAAGCTCATTTATGAATAGCGAAAACAACACTGGGCTTAGTGTACATCCTTGTCTGACACCGCAGGAACTGTAAAAATAGTTTGTTAATTGTTTACCATATTCAAAAGTAACTTGATTTAACATTAGTATACATACTTTTTATGACATTGAAAAATTTACCATGGATACCATTTTGTAATAAAATATATAACACAAGAAATGAGGCATACCCTTTGTTAGCTGGGGGTCCTGACTGCTGGACATTAAGTTGGGTCCTGTGGTCTTTACTGTTAGACGTGAAGGAGGATCCTGGGGCATTTACTGTTGGACATTACGAAGGATCCTTGGGGTCTTTACTGTTAGACATTACGAAGGATCCTGGGGTCTTTACTGTTAGATGTTATGAAGGATCCTGGGCTCTTTACTGTTAGACGTTATTGAGGATCCTGGGCTCTTTACTGTTAGACGTTACGAATGATCCAGGGCTCTTTACTGTTAGACGTTATTGAGGATCCGGGGCTCTTTACTGTTAGACGTTACGAATGATCCAGGGCTCTTTACTGTTAGACGTTATTGAGGATCCTGGGCTCTTTACTGTTAAGGCGTTATTGATCCTGGGCTCTTAACTGTTATTGAGCGTTATCCTGAGGATCCTGGGCTCTTTACTGTTAGGCGTTATTGAGGATCCTGGGCTCTTTACTGTTAGGCGCTATTGAAGGATCCCTGGGGTCTTTCTTTACTGTTAGGCGTTACGAGGATCCTTGGCTCTTTACTGTTAGGCGTTATTGAGGATCCAGGGCTCTTTACTGTTAGAGCGTTATTGAGGATCCAGGGCTCTTTACTGTTAGGCGTTATTGAGGATCCTGGGCTCTTTACTGTTAGACGTTATTGAGGATCCTTGGGGTCTTTACTGTTAGGCGTTATTGAGGATCCTGGGCTCTTTACTGTTAGGCGTTATTGAGGATCCTGGGCTCTTTACTGTAAGGCGTTTATTGAGGATCCTGGGCTCTTTACTGTTAGGCGTTATTGAGGATCCTGGGCTCTTGACTGTTAGACGTTATTGAGGATCCTGCTCTTTAGCCGTTTTACTGATCCTGGGCTCTTTACTGTTAGGCATTATTGAGGATCCTGGGCTCTTTACTGTTAGACGTTATTGAAGGATCCTGGGCTCTTTACTGAAAGTTATTGAGGATCCTGGGCTCTTTACTGTTAGTTATTGACGGGATCCTGGGCTCTTTACTGTTAGACGTTATTGAGGATCCTGGGCTCTTTACTGTTAGAGCGTTATTGAGGATCCTGGGCTCTTTACTGTTAGGCGTTTATTGAGAGGATCCTGGGCTCTTTACTGTTAGGCGTTATTGAAGGATCCTGGGCTCTTACTGTTAGACGTTATTGAGGATCCTGGGCTCTTGACTGTTAGACGTTATTGAGGGTCCTGTAGCCTTTACTGCTGAAAGTTACGAAGGATCCTTGGGGTCTTTACTGTTAGACATTACGAAGGATCCTGGGCTCTTTACTGTTAGACGTTATTGAGGATCCAGGGCTCTTTACTGTAAGACGCTATTGAGGATCCTGGGCTCTTTACTGTTAGACGTTATTGAGGGTCCTGTAGCTACTGCTATTGAGGATCCTGGGCTCTTTACTGTTAGACATTCATGAAGGATAAGAATCCTGGGCTCTTTACTGTTAGGCGTTATTGAGGATCCTGGGCTCTTTACTGTTAGACGTTATTGAGGATCCTGGGCTCTTGACTGTTAGACGTTATTGAGGATCCTGGGCTCTTTACTGTTAGACGTTACGAAGGATCCTGGGCTCTTTACTGTTAGACGTTATTGAGGATCCTGGGCTCTTTACTGTTAGACGTTATTGAGGATCCTGGGCTCTTTACTGTTAGACGCTGTTGAGGATCCTGGGCTCTTTACTGTTAGACGTTAGGCGTTAAGGATCCTGGGCTCTTTACTGTTAGACGTTATTGAGGATCCTGGGCTCTTTACTGTTAGACGTTGTTGAGGATCCTGGGCTCTTTACTGTTAGGCGTTATTGAGGATCCTGGGCTCTTTACTGTTAGGCGTTACAAAGGATCCTGGGCTCTTTACTGTTAGATCCTGGGCTCGCGTTATTGAGGATCCTGGGCTCTTTACTGTTAGGCGCTATTGAGGATCCTGGGCTCTTTACTGTTAGGCGTTGTTGAGGATCCTGGGCTCTTTACTGTTAGACGTTATTGAGGATCCTGGGCTCTTTACTGTTAGGACGCGTTGTTGAGGATCCAGGGCTCTTTACTGTTAGACGTTATTGAGGATCCTGGGCTCTTTACTGTTAGACGTTATTGAGGATCCTAGGGCTCTTTACTGTTAGACGTTGTTGAGGATCCTGGGCTCTTTACTGTTAGACGTTATTGAGGATCCTGGGCTCTTTACTGTTAGACGTTATTGAGGATCCTGGGCTCTTTACTGTTAGACGTTATTGAGGATCCTGGGCTCTTTACTGTTAGACGTTAACGAAGGATCCTTGGGCTCTTTACTGTTAGACGTTATTGAGGATCCTGGGCTCTTTACTGTTAGATGTTACGAAGGATCCTGGGCTCTTTACTGTTAGACGTTATTGAGGGTCCTGTAGCCTTTAACATTCACTTCTGCTGTATGTGAATTTAATTTAAGGACCCCATAACCTTGCACATTACTGATGTGACAAGTACCTTCTCACATTCATACAGTATTTCAGATTGTTTTCTCACATACACTGACTTTTTTTGTTACACTATTGAGTCGATTCATTTGACTTTGTGCCCTTGTAAAAATGATGATAGATAAAGAGAGACTGAATATTGTCCAAATTTCTGAAGTTAAGGTTTTATAAGTTTTCACTGAAATAAGCTTGAAAACATTTTCCACAGTGTAGAAGTTTCCAGGTGTGATATGTTTTGTCAATTACTTTCAGACTGGGATCTTGGTGTGTGTCTACTGTATGAGGCTCGTCGGAAACAACTCCCCCGACCTCCAGAGATGAACAGTTGGATTGATCTGAGGGCCACATACAGGGTAGGGGCTCATGTGACAACTTAATGTTATCATGGCATTAAAAAGAAACATGGTCTGTGTTCTTTCATGCCAAAATAAATTATTGTTGGGTTCGAATCACAAATTCACCCTTATTTCTGTCACAAAGAGGGCCTGCTCCCTAATCTTGTGTCCACTTCCAGTCTATGTCTAGATGTTTTGGTGTATGTCTGTTTTTAGATTGACATTTCTTGTGGGTAAATAACTAATCTGTAACTATTGGATGGATTTACATTGTAATGTATAATAATGGAACAGAATAGTGCAGCGGTAAGGCATCTGCCTATCAGGCTGAAGGCCCGGGTTCGATCCCCAGTGGAGGCACCTAGGTTCGGATCCTGAGGTGGGCACATTAGTGGAGGCACCTAGGTTCGGATCCCGAGGTGGGCACATTGGACAAGATACTTAGATCCACATTGTCTCAGTTCACCCAGCTGTAGAATGGGTACCCGTGAGGATATACTGGCAATGTGAGTGTTTAGTTCATTGCGCCTAACAGGCAGCATGGCTGTATGTTCCCCAGGGAGTTGAAAAAGTGTCGGAAAGTATGATAGTATCCTATGACCGGGGATAGTAATGTACATAGTGCCTTGAGCAGGCAATGTGCCTGGATATGAGCTCCATATAAGCAGACTATTATATTATTATTAATGTTTGCGATAACAGACAAATGATACACTATGTTGGCAGGAGATGCTGATCAGGAGGGGTTTGAAAGCTGTTGTACCATGTCTTGATTTATCTTGTAAATGTGTGTTTTCTTTAAAAATAAATTATGAAAGTCAATCATTAATACATGATAATTACAATGATTTTGTATATTTCAGAAATTCTATGGTCGAAAGCCACATGGTTTAAATGGAGCTCTGCAGGCTGTTGGTATTGAGTTTGAAGGACGTGAACACTCAGGTGAGCTATAGACACATACTAATGTATAACACCCTAGGATGTTGTTAAAGATGTCAGTATCCTTACTTATGTACCTCTTCATGTGTGGGAGGTGGTGGGGTAGCCCAGTGGTGAAAGCGTTCGCTCGTCACGCTGAAGGCCTGAGTTCGATTCCCACATGGGTGCAATGTGTAAAGCCCATTTCTGGTGTCCCCGCCATGATATTGCTAGAATATTGCTAAAAGCGGCGTAAAAACTAAACTCACTCACTCACTCTTCATGTGTGGAATATCTATCTGAATTCCATCAGATAACATGATTAATAATAGCCTCATTTCTGCCCACGGTGATTCAGGTCCCCAAGAATACTGGTCCTCAGTAATCCACACTTTCATGTGGGCAGCTAAATGGATTGGGAGGTCATTCTCTGTTACTTGGCTGATAGCATAGCCAGTCACTATTTCTAACCCATACTATATATAAGCCACTGTGATCTACCTAGACTATTATATAGTGTAGCGTTAAGCAACAGGCAAATGAACAAACAATCATTTCATTAGCTTTCTAGAACTAGAAGTGTGTCACTTTTACATCGCACAGCGACTTAATGACCTGTGAAGATCCGGGTTAGAATTGGTCTTCAGCAACCCATACTTGTCATAAGAGGTGACAAACAGGGTCAGGTGGTCACGCTCGCTGACTTGGTTGACACATTTTAGACATTTGTTCCAGATTACGGGACTCTGTTCCAAATATGTATATACGAATTCCGTTGTTTTGATTCCCTGTCGGTTTGGTGAAAGCTAAGTAAATCACTCACTCACTCACAGTTCATCGTATCCCAGTTGCATAAATTGATGCTCATGCTGTTGATCACTGGATTGTCTGGTCCATAGAGCTGGAATATTGCTGAGTGCAGTGTTTGACAACAACCAAACCAAAACCACAGCAACTTAATGCATTTACGGGCAACACTGAAGTGTAACAAACTTTTCAGGTATTGATAATGCATTGCTGATGAATGGCAAAGCAATATATACTCACTCACTAGTGATAACTGTATATTTGTGAAGTGTTACATTGTCAGATGCATGATGGATGTATTCCAGGTGTGGACGATGCTCGCAATACAGCTCGGTTGGCATGGAGGATGATGAGAGATGGCTGTATCATGAATGTCACCAAGAACATCGGAATGGTACGCAGATAGACACTGATTACAGTTCCGTCAATGCAAACAAGGGTCACTTGCAATATGTTTCGTACATCATTTGTGTACTTTTATAAAGGGTCACTTGCTTATATGTTGCAGACATCATATGTGTATTGTTAAATGAATGTCATTATGTAAAAGTTGTGTGAACTAATAGGCATCGAAATGAGACTAATCCATAACCAGTTTGTCCATATTTTATTGTGATATTTTTACATTTATTGTATTTTTATGAATTTTAAATTATATTAAAACTATTTGATCTGTAACTATAAGTGTTTGTTCTTTGTTATAAGGCAGCATCTGGCCAGGATGATCCACATACTGTTGGGGGTGATAGATCCCATAATGGAAGACACGGGACACACATCTCTCCAAGCATAACTGTGTCCACTGATCAAAGTTCTGAACCATTAAACTCTGTCCGTCTCAAGCACAGTGGAAAACTTCTTCAGACAAAACTTCAGCTGGTCAACCAGAGCCCTGATGGAAGGGAGAATGTGTTTGTGGTCCCACAGGGTTTAAATACTTGTCGAAGCTCTGTTGGACTGAGTGTTCGAGATACCAATATTGGATGTGATAATAAACAGGGGGATAAAAAATGTGTCCAAGATGTGAAGAATGGCTGGCCAACTTGTCAAGGAAAGAAACCAGAGTCTGGTCGTTGTGTAGATATTGGCACTAAGATGTCTAGTGTGGTCACAGCAGGCAGCAGTTGTTCTAAGACATCTTTAAGAAACAGTTGTGTGGAACTCCAAATCACTGTCCTGTTCGTGGAAGCTTTAAGCCCCCAAATCAAAGTGCTGTGACGCCTGGACAGTCAGGTCGAAGATCTGTCTCCACATCAGATGTTGTGTCAAGAAATGTTTTCAAAACTCCAAATCAGAGGATGAACCGCAGTGGTGAAAGCTTGAGTCGTGGCGTTACAACACCGAATGAAAATACTTTCAAAACACCAAGCCCTCTGCAAAACAGGTTATCAGTTCCTGGTTCCAACTGTTCGAGTATGAAGGCTACTCCTCCGATGTGTAAGTGTGGTCGGCGTTCAAAACGACGTTTGGTTCAGTCCCCAGGCCCGAACATTGGTCGGTTCTTCTTCACATGTGGTGTACGTACTTCTCAATATGATGTGAAGAGAGGTTGTGAATTCTTCAAATGGGAAAGTTTGTCTGCAGGGGGAGGTAACTCCAGACATGTCTCAAAGACAGGAAGTGGTAGTGGTGTGTCCAAACCATTTACCCCTGTCACACCAGTGGGTGTCATGCCAAAGTCTCAACAGGGAGTCAGATCAGCTGTTCCTAAATACATTCGATAGATCAGGCAGAGAGGCAGGTAGCCTTAGGTTGATTCATGTCTGAAGATCACAAGGTTATAATGCTACAGTTTGTGGATCATGTATTTCACACATTTATATCATGGTTACCCCAATTCCACCCAAAGGTTTCAAATCTTTCCAACATGTCCAAAATAGGGTACCATAGGTAGGTTAGTTTGTTTGCTTTCTTTCTGAACTAATACTTTGAAAAAATAAATATATTGACTGATTTATCAAGGGAACATTGAACAAACACTTTCAGGTGTGACATAATCCATTTCTTTGATTTTCATGGTTGCAAATGACATGAATCCATTTCTGATGAATTGATACAATGAAACGCTGATCATAATCAAAACATCATACCAACTCTGTCAGGTTTTGCAGAATTTTTGTCCTAAAAATAATAGAAAAGTTGTTTGACAAACTATCATTAAACACAGTTAGTAACTTTTGAGCCAAAGGGACTAGCCGGGTTTTCGTATTTAACACTAACCTGTGCTATCTGTAGCCACAAGCAATTGGAAACCTGAATGTTGTACTATATTATAGTAGTCGGTGGACCACTCTATTCTGTTCCATATACCCAGTGTATATAAGTTTGTTGTTAAGTATGAAATGTACGCATCATCTCCATGTGTACCAGTGTTAAGATAGTTTCATCATGTTAGAAAGATATGTGTATTGTTGCATGAAAATGCAAATATATATGCATTGATTGTGGTCCATTAGAACTTTGTTTTGTGTTTGATCTTTTGTTAAATATTATGGCATGTGGAATAAAAGATAATTTGATTATTGGCTATTACTTTTTAAATCATCTTCAACTGTTGACCTTCTTTTACCCTTGTTTCTCTTGGACCTGACTTGTTGGAAGTCAGATGAACTTGTAATTCAGTTATAATTCTTGATACCAGAAGGTTAAGCATTCAAATGAGGGTGTCAGAATTTCGTATCTCAAAAATGAATATGATCGAACTGCAAATTGAAAGAAAATTGTGCAGGGCATGCTGCTGTTTATATCTTAAACAACCTGTAGTTTGTTAGTGCTATCAGTTGCTATGGTATCTACTAGTGGTGTTCCGATTAATTGAAATAATCGAAGATTGATCGCAGTGACCAAACGACCAAGAAATTGATCACATTTTCTCATAATCAAACATAAACGATTTTGGAACTACTGTTTTAGTCTTTGAAATATTTTGACAATGGAACATATCGTTGAAGTTGTTGTGAAAACGTTTTAATTTTAGTAAAACTACAACTTCACTAACTTTCAAGCCATGACTGAATATTTCTTGAAGATTCCGGGAAGTTTATGTTCATGATATATTAGTCATCACTTTAAAGTAGCAAGTTGCATCATGTTATAAATATCTGCAATAACAACCAGGATAGGAAAATCTGAAAAATGACGCTAACCAATTTTTTTCGATGGTTGTTCGTTGGTAATGAAACAATCATCAATTGTGAGATTTCAACCAATTCCCAACTCTAATATCTACATACAGAAGGGACCCAAGAAGGTCCGGGTTAGAATTGATCCTCAGTAACCCAGGCTTGTCGAAAGAGGCGACTAACGGGATCAGGTGGTCAGGCTTCCTGACTTGGTTGACACACATCATTGTATCCCAATTGCGTAGATCGATGCTCATGCTGTTGATCACTGGAATGTCTGGTCCAGACTCATTTATTTACAGACCACCGCCATATAGCTGGATAATTGCTGAGTGAGGTGTGAAACTAAACTCATTCACTCACTCACATACAGAATGATTACTACAGAGGATATATTTGTGGTCTGCAACAGTTTTCTTGTGCAGAGATTCAAATTTATGAATTGAGGAGAAAAAGTAATGAAGCCAAATTGTTTTCCAGAAAGCAACCACTTAATTGATTCAAGAACCCACTCATCTTTCATTTTGATTGGGTGGTAAATGTTCACTCACTCTTCAGCAGACACATCCTTATATATAGAGGTGTTCTCAGATCAGAATGCAGACAGGTAGTACATCAGTGTAAAATATCTGATTTAAATGTGATTATATTTGTGATTCTGGTAAGGTTGTCCCCAAAACAAGAGTTATGACTGAACACAAAACAAGACTCATAAGAACAAAAATGCAATTCTTACCCAATGCCAGCGTTTAAAATTCCCGCCTGCCCGACCGTCCGGAACGGTCTATTTTCATCAAATTTCAAAAGTAGCCTGTCCAGTGGTCTGTTAGATATTTCTCTGAATTTGATTGTGAGGCAGAAAATGCAACAGATTTCTCGTTTGTAAACCAGGCCATGTACCTTAGCCTTAACGTTACAATCTATGCAGAAAAGATTTCAGAAACCTGATTTTATTTTGGTTGTTTATTGTTGAAAACCGGACAGGCAAGTTTGTATCCGGACTAGTAATTTTTTTAAGTTACCTGTATGGCTGTCTGGCTTGGAATTTTGGGAGTTTTAAACACTGCCAATGCCCCCTCATTTCTGACCAAATCTCCACAAAATTAGACACACAGTAATTATGTGGTATAGCTAATGACAATAGTTTTTCTGTGTATCAGAATGTATTACCTTAATGTAACTTTATGTAGTCCGTCTCACTGTCTGCGAACCTTCTTATGTTTCCTCCCGCTCAGCCCTTGGTGTAGTGCTATGGCACTAAATGAAGCAAGTCTATATTTTCCTTCAGAATCCCCCCCATCCCCTAGAGCTTCTTTAAGTTTAAGTGGTGTTATTTCCAGAAACTAACTGTTACCCCATAGACTATATTGGCCCCCTGCATAGCCAGTGATGGAAATGCCTTTCAATAGTGGGTGTCCTATATGTGAAGACTTTGATCATGTCTATTGTTTATCCTACTTTACCCTGTATGACCTTAGGGGCGGTGGGGAGCCTAGTGGTCAAAGCGTTCGCTCGTCACGCCGAAAACCCGGGTTCGATTCCCCACATGGGTACAATGTGTGAAGCCCATTTCACCCCACCGTGTTATTGCTGGAATGTTGCTAAAAGCGGTGTAAAACTAAACTCACTCACTCACTCACTGTATGACCTTACTAATCATATTCCAGAAGCATCGGGTGAGCTACAGAACCCTGTTCTGTTTTATTACATCTATTTGATGATGTTGATTTAAGCAGGCTGTTTAGGGGTGGTCAAATATTATTGTTTCCTGTTTCACGTCCTATATGCTTTGTATCAGATGTAACCGTACACAAAGACAACAGCCAATAATTTAAAATGCCACAAACAAGATGATATCCTTGCAGAAAAAACATGCTTTATTGTTTGCTATAAAAATACATTTCTAAAAAGTACATCAGGGTAATTTATTCAACCCATCGTCATTGTACATTTTCTCAAAAATTATACCAATTTTATACATATACATTCAAGGGTTTACCAAATCACAGATTTAAAGCAATCATCACGATCGTTGTAACCCCAAACTGTTCAGAATATTTAACATCAAAAGATAAAAAGGCTTGCTATGTAAGCATGAAGAGTAACTTGTGTCACCGGTGTGGATATGTCATTTCTCCCAATAGTCTCTGTCTGGAGGAGCTGCTTGTGAAGCTCCAGGATGTTCCTCTATTGCTGCTCCCTGAAGCTGACCCTGTAGTCCTGGTATAGTTTCCTGTGTATCCACTCCACATAGCTGGCTGTCAGTGTGTACACACCTGGTCTCATGGCCACTGCACAGCCTGAACCACCTGCATCACCAAAGGATGTTGTTCCTGGAAATGGATAAATTCAGTTATAAAGTTTCCTAAAGAAATTTTTGTTGCAACATTATGTCGACTGATGTAGTGACATATTAGCTCTGGAACTGCAGCTCGTGTGGCCATCAAGGTGGATGACTTATCAGCTCTGATTTGCATGAATCTGTTCTACATATTCAAGAGGTGTCAGAAAACATGTTGGAAATGCAGTACCAATTAGAGAGTGAGTGGGTGAGTATGGTGTTACACCGCTTTTAGCAATATTCCAGCAATATCACGTGTACACCGGAAATGGGCTTCACACATTGTACCCATGTGGGGGAATCGAACCAGGGTCTTCGGCATGATGAGCGAACGCTTTAACCACTAGGCTATCCCACGGTCCTAACAATTAGAGAAAAAAAGGATACTAGGTAACATTCTATAGGGGAATGACAAAACAATGCCACCCTAACACCCACCCCAAGAAATACCTGTATATTGTTCAGTTTCATAATTATGCATACAAAATAAGGTGTGAAATGTTATTTTCAATTTAAGTATAGCTTAAATACAGGGTGCTAAAAATACACATTCAATCAACCAGACAATGCCAACTCCATTATTGACAAACAGAAACTCCAACACCCTTGAAAATGAATGATGTGTAAATGGACAACGACCTATAAAATCTAAACCTCACCGGCCATCACCCATCTGTTGTTCATCTTGCACTGAAGGGGTCCTCCGCTGTCTCCCTGTAAATACATACATTATCAGTGACAGTGGTGTAACATTGGTAACAGATTTATATGCAGTCTCCATAATCCTCTGTTTTGCCATTGGATTCCCTTTCTTGAGTCTGTGGTTCGATATTAGATGCGTACAAATTAAATACTAGCAGTCTTCCTGCAATCCTGATATACAATGAAACGTTGTGTAACCCACTGTTATCATGCTGTATTCAGTAACGTTACACTACGCTCATTACTCAGTTTGGCATACGAACATCGCCCAGGACAAACGTGTAAACACACTGTCTGTCAGATCCTGGGGAAAACAAAATACAAAATGATTTTCTTTTCAGTATGGAGCTCCAACGGTCAAAACAAGACACTGTTTTAAGTTTGGAACTCAAAGATAGATAGACAAAGACATTGTTTTTAGTATAGAGCTTAAACGGTCAAGCCAATACACTGTTTGGATTGTGGAATGCCAACAGCCGAGCCATGTTCCTGTTTTACAAGATTGAGACAAGAGCCTGTTTACAGGAGAAAAAGACACACTTAAAAGCAGATCCTTCCAGCTTTACGTGTCTGAGGTCAAACTGCCGTTACTATTTCCAGTGTATGATTAACTGCTTACGTGGCACGAGTCGACCCCACCCTCCCTGTATCCCGCACAGATTGTGTCTTCCGTGACCAGATCAATGTATCCAGGTAGCCTCTTACAGTCAGAGTAACTGTACACCGGTACAACAGCCTCCTTCAGGGTGCCAGGAGGTCCATTCGCTGGAATAGTAACCATGGACCATGAACATCGTGAGATCATCATGTAATAATGGAACGTAGTGTTACCCGGAGCCCGGGCGTTCAGATGCTTGGCCCTTGAGTTTCTGATTCTGGGTCTGTTAGTAGGGGGAATTTGCTCTTAACACTGCCTAAAAGTATATCTGTAATATCTCTGTTTAAGGGTCAAATATTAAGCCGATGGTCGGCTATTACACGTTTTCAAAAAATACGATAGGGTTCGAGCCTCGCAGGCGACTTGTTCGCCCAGCAAATAAGGAATCTTGCAGCTGAGTGCCAAACTTCAAAAAAGTGTTTTTCCAGCAGTGAAATAATTTACAAATTCACAAACACGTCCATTCCTGAACATAATGAACCATTTAAACAATAGGATGTTTTAACTACGAACGCTACACCCACGTGTTATAGACCCCCAGCCAGTGATGACACACTTCTGTCCGGTGCTAGGAATGTCATCGTTGTTGGGCAGACACAGAGGCCTTGTCCACTTGTTGAAGGTCACGGGATGATCCAGCTTAAGCAGGACCAGATCTTTTCCCGGTAGCAGAGGATCACTGGCGTTGAAGCCAGGAGGGGTATAGACTTTAATGAGTTTCATGTTCTGTTGGGTCGGCTCTGGCTGTGCTCCAGGTGTTGGGTCGAATTTTCCAAGGCGTGCCTCCCATAGTGACAAGTTGCTGAATACAGGCCACCTGTAAGTGTGTTTTGAAATTAGCTGATTAATTTTCAGTTATTCAAATAAGATCACTTCTGGGGACGCCAAGGCTATGCATCACTGACTCGCCCCATCATTAAATATTTTTTAGAATAATATCTCTCCCAGAAGTTTATCAAATGATCGGATTCTTACTGTACCAGAGCCGGGGATTTCTCAGTGCGACAAACGAACCATAACAAGCCGTGCAGATGAGATAACTGATCCAACATCCTGGCACGATAGTATCTCTAGACTATAACTGAAATATTGATCAATCTATAAATGACTTTATAAATACATCTCTGGAATCAAGAAATGGATAACACGTTCCATATAAAGACACTGTGAAGTTACTTGAAGATTTAAAACAGTAACAGTTTCTATATAAGCAATGTTCATCCATACGGAAAACATACTCAGTGGCGGATCCAGAGGGGAGGGGGGTGTGTGTGTGTGGGGACCGGGTTCAGAGCGGGGACCCCCTGAACAACACCCCACCCCCCCTTTTGAAAATTTCTGGATCCGCCTATGATGCTGAGTAAGATTACTTACCCAACATGTTTACTTACCCAAAGAAACAGTGGCCTGCAGAGAGGACCCATTGCTTGTCCAGCAGAACCCCGCCACACCAGTGCTGGTTGGCAAACTTGAGAGAAACCTGAACAGAGGAGGGAGAGAGCTGGACGGGTCTATCTCGGAACAGTATTTACACTTATGGGGCGTAATACACGACGTATTTTTGTAGTGAATGAACTACACGGATGGGCTTCTGTAACTCACAGAGGAAGGTGTGAGGGTAATCTCAAGTCTGTGGCCAGGAGTTGTATCTGGTGCATTGTTTGAAACTGATATACTGTCTTCGTTAACTTCATTAACTGCCTGATACCAGCGAGTTAGCAGCAAGGCGAAGCAGTTTTAGTGCATGATGGAGAGCCGCGAGTCTCGTCTCCGTTTGAACATTCGTTTGATTTGAAATTGTCGGAAAGAAAAATGCCATCATCTGTCAAAAGGCATTATACACGACTTTAAACCATCATTCTTTAATAAATCATGTGATCGAATCAGTGATATGTGTGTACATAAACACATAATAGTATTCTTTCCAATGTTCACAATGGTCTTTTTCAACAGTTATACCACGATGACTTAGGTCAATGACGTCTACCACTGAAGCAGGGGTAGTTTTCAGACAATCCAAAAACTTTAATCATGCCAAATTTGGGTTTCGAACCCAAGACCAAACAATTCTTCCACGCCTAACAGACAGCTCTGAATATTGAATTAAGAGCACCTGACGACTTAATCACCTGTGCCCCGAGACAGTGCTGGGTTTCAGTACAAAGCAGAACCTACTCATTTCTTCTGCGAGTAGATGGACACGAAATTTTTGTTTGCTTATCCTCATATCCCAGCTAAATGGCGGCGGTCCGCAAATAATTAAATCTGGACCAGACAATCCAGTGATCAGCAGCATGGGCATCGATGTACGCAATGTGTCAACCAAGTCGCCTCTTACGACAAGCATGAGTTGCTGAAGATCAATTCTAACCCGGATCTGTACGGGTGATGTTGACGGACTCGATGAAGCAAATGTTACTCCCCCTCTAAGGAGAGGTTCCCATTTTAACGCCGCTGTGAACAGTAGCTCGGATATAAGGCTGTTTACTACAATGTCCGAAGCAGCATGTAATGCTTGACCCCCCTCTTTTGTGGAACCCATAACACGGGTAAATTTTAGACAATCTGAGAATAATATTCTGGGCGAATAACCAAACCATACTAGTGAGTGAGTGAGTTTAGTTTTACGCCTCACTCAGCAATATTCCAGCTATATGGCGGCGGTCTGTAAATAATCGAGTCTGGACCAGACAATCCAGTGATCAACATCATGAGCATCGATCTGCACAATTGGGAACCGATGACATGTGTCAACCAAGTCATCGAGCCTGACCACCAGATCCCGTTAGTCGCCTCTTACGACAAGCAGAGTCGCCTTTTGTGACAAGCATGGGTTGCTGAAGACCTATTCTACCCCGGATCTTCACGGGTCCCCAACCATACTATCATCCCAATCCTAAAGAACGCGGGGCGGTGGGGTAGCCTAGTGGTTAAAGCGTTGGCTCGTCACGCCGAAGACCCGGGTTCGATTCCCCACATGGGCACAATGTGTTAAGCCCATTTCTGGTGTCCCCCGCCGTGATATTGCTGGAATATTGCTAAAAGCGGCGTAAAACTAAACTCAGTCAGTCAGTCAGTCCTAAAGAACGCAACTCTCCACATATAGTTGTGGCGCCTAAGAAGATACTGTAACGGTATCCGCAATGTTACTAGAAGTCAGCATTAACCACTGCCTAAACATTTTCTTTAACGGTTTTAACTCACCATCCAAGGCCAGCTGCCCGGTATAGCATCATTTCCCCCCAACAACTCTCAGCATCTTCAGCCTTGGTTCAATGTCAGGAAGGCCACACTCCCCAACATCGTCTTGCATCCATCCTTTGTACCACGTTCTGAAATCGACCGGGCTCACTATCTCCTTTGCTGGAGTCGGGTGCTGGCCGTTGCTTGGCCTATTGTGCCACCTAGATATGAGCGAGTAGAGGGCGCTGTGAGGCAGGACATGCCAATGAGGATGAACACGTCGCAGCCATGCAGCAATCTGCTGGATGCGGAAAGGAGAAAGTCTGGAAGGGGACACCCATCTCGTTAGCGGGTGGCCACTGGGGAGATTCCATAGAGCTTTTCTCAGAATGGCAGCATCTTCGTCACTGCTGTCTCGCGATGGGATATCTGGAATGAGAAGAGCGAGTGAGTGAGTCGGGTTTTACGCCGCTTTTAGCAGTATTCCAGGAATATCAAGCCGGGGGACACCAGAAATGGGCTTCACACATTGTACCCATGAATGGAATGGAGGCCTTGGGCGAACGCTTTAACCACAAGGCTACCCCACCACCCCTTGAATTGAAAAGAGACATCATTGGCAGACTAAACTGTTATATTTAGCATTTTGAAGACAGGGATCTGTCCGTCCTTTACAGTTTATACTTAAATGTATTTTGTTTAAGTGAATGAGTGAGGAGTGAGTTGGGTTTTTGGCCGCGTTTAGCAATATTCCAGCCGTATCACGGCGGGGGAAACCAGAAATGGGCTTCACACATTGTACCCATGTGTGGAATCGAACCCGGATCTTCGGCGTAACGAGCAAATGCTTCAACCACTAGAGTACCCCATCGTCCCTATTGTAGATAGGTGTAAACACACGCTGGTCGTGTTTTGCTCTATGCGTGACGAGTGAGTGAGTGAGTATGGCATTTACTCCGTTTGTAGCTCTATTCCGGTAGTATCCAGGATTCACACAAGGATCACACATACTTATATTCAGTATCGAATCCGAATCTTAAGTGGGACGAGCAAGCTACGCACCAGACTACTCCATAATGATTGTGTAAAGACATCGACAGGGATGTTTGGAATCATTTGGGTTTTTTATCTGCAAAATGTCAGTACATACACTGTCGAATTTGTCTGTTTTTCAAGAATACACAAGTGTTATTTCTGTGTGACTGAGGTCCACATGTGAATTTAGCCAACATCGCTCCCTAATTCCAACACACAACTCGACTCGGTCCATTTTGACCAAGCAAGGAATCCATGTTGGACTAGTTTCATTCACGCTGACTATGGTCTGGCAAAACAAAAACAGATGGCCATGAATCTATTTAAATATGTTTTCAACCCGTTTCTTCAAATCAAGGTGCATATTTAACGTCGCCGTGTTATACGGACTATATACAGTGTAATATGTCAAATCCGGACTCTGTCAAATCCGGTTTTCTCCAAAATCCGGACTACTCTCTGAGTCCCGGCAAAACTGTTCTTATATTATCACGAAAGCTTGCTTTATAATCCGGACTCACCCAATTACGGATTACGGACTAAAATAACAGTCCCGACAATCAAATTGCTATTAGAATTTTGCTTTGAAATCCGGACGTAGTTGACTAGAAAAACAGTCCGTTGAATAAACATCTCTGTTACTTCTGTAATAGTGGTTCCGCTATCCTCCCCCATGTTCTCAATTTGGAAGCCATGACTGAAAACATTGTATTACGTGGAAATTTACAGAGGCAGAGGCAAACCATGTTAACAGACTTTTTCCAGTGAAAGTATAAATATATTGAGTATAAATATATATTGTATAAATAAAACCCAAAAGAGAACTATTCAAGTTGTTGGGTGTCCTTAACAAAGGGAGGTAACTCATTGTGGCAGCATCTACAGTAACGGACAAAGTTGTCCAGTATTATACTGCAGGATCCGTAGTTGCGTGATTTACATATGGTTTCATCTACTCAAAATATGGTGCACCCATGTGCATCACGGCCCACAAAACTGGCGTCATCAATATTGAACAGGATAATCACGGAATGAAAAGTATGTTTTCTTTCAAAATTCGGACACAGCGTAGGTGATTGCAGAGAGCACTAGAAGATAAATCACGACGAATTTAGTTAAATAGCTACTGTATAATATTCCTGAGAGATACTTATGAGAGATACAAAAAACTGGAGAAGAGGGAAAGATAGAGTGGGCTCGTCCATGTGTGTTTAAATAACTAATGTGAAATTTAAAGGTTAAATGTCAGCCTCTGTTATCCAGTTATATGTTCATTCTAGTTGTTGCCAAGGGTTACCCCTCTCTCTGTATCACGTGGGGCGGTGGGATAGCCTAGTGGTGAAAGCGTTCGCTCGTCAGACCGTAGACCCGGGTTCGATTCCCCACATGGGTACCAAGTCAAAACATTGATTACACAACAGTCTCGTTTACTGCTGACTGGGTTCCGTCCTATAGGGCAACTTAGTACAATAACCAGTCCAGAATTTTGAGACCAATTCATTCAACTGGATACATAAATATTAATCAGTATTATTTGATACATCTAAGCACTTGTATATTGCAACACTACGCTCCTTCTAATCCTGGCAAACACGTTGTGCAGCATGCTCTGTCGCACTGCGTGCTCTGACAAACGGAAATCTGGAAATCGTGGAAATCTCAAAACGAGGCTCTGCCGCTAGAAAAGTTTGAAGATCTGGTACGGACTTGATATCATATCAATCACACAGTGCGTTACAAAACTACACTGAATAAGCGCAAAGAACACATAACAGGTGTAACCAGAGCCAGATGAATTTTACGACCTCATCAAACAGGGACAGTCTGTGACGTCTTAGTTAAAGTCATGCTGCCTACACCTCGCCATAAAATATAGAAATACGATGTTATTAAAGTTTAAAATTCAAATTAACTTGTAAATACCATTTTCTTATGATACAAGAAATTGGAATTCAGTGTAACCATAGTTGTTTGTGGTGTCTCTTTTCACTTTTACACGAGAAAACTCGGATCGGCTGAAAAGTAGGTCATTGTCTGAATAGGTTAATGAAACTCATGTTTCGGTTTGATGTGTGAAGCCCACTTCTGGTGTCCCCCGTCGTGATGTTGCTGAAATATTGCTAAAAGCGGCGTAAAACCTCACTCACTCTGTATCACGTAATTATGAGCTTCGTACAATTAAATTGGGGTTGGAAACGAAACTACGTTGGCGAGCTAGTCCAGGGTATGTATCATACTACGACGCAGACATGATGCAAGGGTGTAGTCTATCATGGACAATTGGATCCGTGTATCAAGGAGGATGTTCTCAGGTTGGATTCGAACAGGTGTAATGTAAGCAGACATTGTAAACATTATGTTTTCCATTTAGGCATAATATATTTTATAACAGGATTCAAACCTGAGCCTCTTTGTCTGCCTGTGTAAAGGGAGCGTTGTTTACTTTAATTGGATTTTTCTTTTTATATTGGTAATCTCTCTCTCTCTCACACACACACACACACACACACACACACACACACACACACAAAACAAAACACACAGACGTACCCAGCACATGCACACGATGTCTCGTGAAATATCAGAATAGGTGAAATTAAATTACAGTTGCAATAACCCAAACGATTAATACAATAATATTATTATATAAAAGTCCTACCTGCTGCACACAGTGTAAAAAGTAGAACCATCCATACAAACGATGGCATATTCCTTATACAAGATGACTGCGGTGTGTGATAGTATCCCAGCATTAAACCGGAGACAATATTCATTCGCCAACAGAAACCCACCTCTTATAGAAGTTCCTGAAAGTGGGCGGGTCACTTACCTCAGCCTTTTGAATGGGTGAACGCCTCTGACGACCGAAGTATGGTTGCGTTTTGGCGAATCCGACCACAAACGTTTAATTAAACCGAAAATAATTTAAAAACTTGCACATACGTGCACATACGTGCACATACGTGCACATACGTTAATTAACTGTTACACGAAGGGGTGAACGCCTCTGACGACCGAAATATGGCTGCGTTTTGGCGAACCCCATCACAAAAGTTTCTTTGATATAAAAGTATCTGAAAACTTGGTAAATATTTAAACAATGTTACATGCGTACTGTGACACAAGAGTGTGAACGCCTCTGACGACAGAAACATGGATGTGTTTTGGCGAACCCCATCACCAACGTCTCTTTGATATGAAAGTAACTGAAAAACCTAGAAAATATATATACATGTGAATGGTGAATTGTCTGTGACACGAAGGGGCGTTTAAAAATAGTTTGAAAGATTGTGTTTTCTTACCTTCATTGACGTGCGTTATCGTAAGTTCTGAATTGTGCTACATCTTAGAATATCTTAATGGGAAATCATTAGAAAAGAAAAATTGTTAAAATTACGGAAAATGTATAATAGTATAAAATTTATCAGATATATCTAAAAGTTTACAAATATTTATAGACTGTAAATTTGGATTTTATTTACTTCTTGCGTGTTCCAGTACACAGAAATGGTAACTAGAGCAAAACCAGGCCGATATTTCCAACTTCAAGAAAGGAACCTTTCCCAGACCGAAAGTAAATGTTTTACCGTATATTTGCACTGTTATTATCTACATATCCGAAGAATATCGCCTCTGCCAAAGATTTGTTCACGCTGCAATATTTAAACACTGCCTATAAAAACCTCTAAAATAGGCTCTATTTCACAGTTTAGCATATTCACTTAGTGTTACTGTGAGCCCAAAACACACACGTGCTAAAATAACGATTTTAAAAATTCTCTTTAATTAATTATGGAGATCATGATGCAGATCTTATCCCTGTCCTTTGTTCCATTCAAATAGACATACTTGGTGTGTTCGTTGCATAACCTCACTGACGTCTCTCAAGTCCCGTTATACGCCGACGGATAAGACCGTCGTATGATTAAAATGTGTAGTCTTCCTACGTGCACTGTTCATGTATTCCACTACTGGTACACCTGAACAATACTCGTGGTACTTCTCGGCTGAAAGAGATACCCAATGCCCCATGCTTCTTGAAAGAGTCGTCTAAAAGAGGATCGTGTGGCTACAACGTACACCATGCTTGACTGTCACACCGTACCTCGCCGCCGGCCTTAATAGTTTGTTTACTGTCAACCACAGGTTTGAACTGACAGGATCAGATTATTTTTAAATCGAAAACTACATATATATATATATATAATTTTAATCAGAAATACAGTTGTTCTAAATGTGCTGTGAAACAACATTCACCCTCTCACTCTAGTCAAGCCGCCCTAATAAAAACTATCCAACAAAATGAAAATGAAAAATGGATTTGATCTTCTATAAATAAATCTTTAATATATGTTACAGGCTGAAAAAGTCGCCGAAAGACAGCAAGTGTGAGGTTGTATACCCGTGTAGAATTGATCATTATCGAATAACCGTTCCTCGTTTGTTTCATTTTAAGCCTCCATCCTAAATGGCGTGTACATGTACTTTCACTTGCCCGGCAACTTACATTAAAGCGTTCGATCGTTTCGCCTAAAGCCTGGGTTCGATTCCCGTTCAACATTTAAACTCAATTTCTGGTGGTCTCCACCTGGATATTTGTGTAATATCGGTAATAGCGGCGCCAAAACATATTCAATCACCCATTCGCAGGACAGATGACCAAATGCTTAAACCTTGGTCCCAGTACGCATGGACCTTAACACAAGACATTTATCAACCGTTTACCACGTGTGAATTATATCCTGGGATATCGTATCAGGACCACCTACTTAGCTTGTACATAGCTGTTTTAATTCACATATGGATCAGATATATCAAGGTGGACTTTGCCCTTCACACATGAACATGGGACAAGCCAGTCAGTGATAGCGGAGATTCTTGGGCGCTGGGCGTGCGTACGGTGAAAGGTGTAGAAGTTATTAAAACGTGGTTTACGACTGAGCGGTTAATAAAACATTATATTTTTTAATGCAATTAATATTGCATATGTACGAAGATCCTGAAGGGACATTTTCGTAACCAAAAAGAAAAAAAAAAAATTACCTCGTAATAACGACTTCAAATCTCGTAATAACGACTTATAATCTCGTAATAACGATTTTTTATCTCGTTATAACGACTTTAAGATCTCGTTATAATGACTTTAAAAAAACTCGTTATAACGACTTTTAAATCTCGTTATAACGACTTTTGGTGGCCTTCATCTACTTCTGAATTGGGTCTTCTGCATGGACTGCTTGAACATAGAGTTCATGGTTTGGAACGACTTGATGAGCATCTTGTCTTTGGAGTCCTGCGTAGCATCCCTGCTTGCCTTCCTGGGCCCCGTTCCTCAAAGCGATCGTAGCCCTACAACAGTCGTAAGTCTATGTTACAGTATGAAGTTACGATCAACTTTGCGCTACGATCGCTTTGAGGAACGGGGCCCTGATACCTCCACGGTAGTCGCATCCCAAGGTTTGCACAGCAGAGGCTTGGTGTATAAATCTGACCATTGGCAGGAAGAGAGGAGACCCTGATGTCGCATAAATGTGACTATGAGACCATGATTCTCTCACCTGATGGGAACTGTGAGACCATGATTCTCTCACCTGATGGGAACTGTGAGACCATGATTCTCTCACCTGATGGGAACTGTGAGACCATGATTCTCTCACCTGATGGGAACTGTGAGACCATGATTCTCTCACCTGATGGGAACTGTGAGACCATGATTCTCTCACCTGATGGGAACTGTGAGAGATTCTCTCACCTGATGGGAACTGTCCATGATTCTCTCACCTGATGGGAACTGTGAGACCATGATTCTCTCACCTGATGGGAACTGTGAGACCATGATTCTCTCACCTGATGGGAACTGTGAGACCATGATTCTCTCACCTGATGGGAACTGTGAGACCACTGATTCTCTCACCTGATGGGAACTGTGAGACTATGATTCTCACCTGATAAACACCTGATTCTAAAAATATGGGAACTGTGAGACCATGATTCTCTCACCTGATTAATGTGAAAGTTTTTATACCATGATTCTCTCACCTGATGGAACTGTGAGTTAATGATTCTCTCACCTGATGGGAGCCTGTGAGACCATGATTGTCTCACCTGATGGGAACCGTGAGATTGATGGAATACTGCTAAAAACGACGTAACACCATACTCAGTCAGTCAGTCAGTCAGTAATAAATTCCTAATCAGTCTGAACAGGAATATACGTCTTCAAAAGAGATTTGACAGGCAGCCCCAAGTTGCCCAAACAACAAATACAAGGTTAAAAAACATTAGTCGTATCTACATTAGGAAGTATTCCACATCTCATGTCGGAAACATGTTTCAAAAGCAAACCCTCACATAAATCTGATTTATTCAACAAAATCTCGTTACATGCAGTTTGGTGAATTATTAAGCTCTGGTTTGTTCTGACGGACTGTGATGAAGGAAGGAATCAGATATTGCTGATTTCCAACTTCATAATTAATTATTACTCACGTACAATATATTTAATTCAACATTTTAAGCGCCTCTCTTGGCATGTCAAATCGTTCTTCGCCTCCATTACCCCTGCCAGCTTCCGGTTCAATGGAGTGAAGGAACACGAATAAGCAGAAATTAAACACAAATATCATATTGCATAATTTTACCGTTAAAATGTTGGGGATTATGCTTCTTATATGCCGTCGTTATTGTTAGAATTTTCGTAACATTTCTTCTACAAAAAACGCTTCTGGCGTAGCGGGTAAATGAAAGCATTTTTAAATTTAACTCCCCTGTTCCTTCACTCCGTTGAACCGGAAGCTGGCAGGGGTAATGGAGGCGAAGAACGATAAATCGCCAGGTCACGAGTGGCGCTTAAAATGTTGAATTAAATATATTATACGTGAGTAAATATTAAATATGAAGTTGGAAATCTGAGAGCACAACTCTATGAGGAAATGTGTGTCTACCTTTTGATGATGGCGATATTTTATTTTGATATTACAAATATTTTTCGAACCGAAGCGAGGGAAGCACGTTGCCAACCTTTGCTCGCTTCGCTCGCATATGGGAAGACTTGTCATTTTCTCTTTGTTGCGCAACCTTATTTGCGCTACAATTTGCCTGTGATTCAAACTTGGTTGAATACGACATGAAGCCGATATACATTTCATTCATTCAATATTATCATTTTTATTTATTTACAATCGTTGGGTACAATTTACAATTGAGCAATTCCAGGCTGGTGTATTCACCAACATACGAATGAAAAGTTACAAACCACATTCCAATACATGTCATCAGAATGGTTCGAATACAACTTAAAGCATTTTCTATCTGATATTAAAACTTCTAAAAGGTTATATAGTTATTTGAACAACAAATGACATAAATTTCATAAAGGACCTATCAAAAATAGCAGTTTGAATATCATTTTCAATTTTTATTGTGATGTTTTCTAGTCGGACTGTGATGATCGTGATTATTATAATAGCCTACTAATAGGTCATTTCTGTTTTCTCCTCAGTTTTCGAAATATTTTATTAATCTTACCAAGTTCAAATTGAGTGGAGGTTTTGTTTTGAATCCATGAGTTGACTTGTTTCTACTCTTTCTTTACCTGGAGAGTATATGTAATATACAAAATGTGCATACATTTCTAAAGTATATAATATTTGGTTGCCTTAATTGCGTATTATAAGGTATTGCCAGAAAAAAGGTATACATGGCATATTCCTTACATTTTTCTATATCAACATAAGTTAAATTACAATGTCGTATAGATATTATCATGTCCGCATATTCTAAGATGTACGTTTTGCAATCAAATATATTTCCAAAGTTTCAAGGCAAGCAACTAACCAACTTTCGAATAAAGCAGGTAATAATAATACTAAGTAATAATAAGTGCATTTATAACGGGTAACCCAAGCTGCCTGTGAGAAGCTAGAAGGTTAATAGTCACATGACTTATTCCTGCTGGGTGAACAGAGGTAATTTTGAACTTTTAATATTTAGGTTTATTTCAGATGTGAATATTTTCACTGTGTTAGATTGGTTGGATTAGTAACACTTTATCATTGTCTGCTTGTCACAACATGGCTGAAATATTGCCGATGTGACTAAAATCTGAACTCATTCATCATTACCTATGAACTGACTCGTACGTTTGATGAATTTACCCCATGAAACATATACGTGTCCCAAAATTGGTTGGTTCCTTTTGTTAAGAAGCGTTCTCCGATAAGGCCTTCATGTGTTCTCAATATATATTTTTCTAAAATAGAATAATGAATTTAGATTTGCTCTTTAGTAGTCTTTTAATCCAAGACATTTGTTGGTATAACTTTTGATATATTAATGAGTCCTTAATCCATCCTCCTCGATGGACCCGTGAAGGTCCGGTTCAGTAACCGATGCTTGTCGTAAGAGGCGACTAACGGGATCGGGTGGTCAGGCTCGTTGGCTTGGTTGACACATGTCATCGTATCCCAATTGCCCAGGTTGATGCTCATGCTGTTGATCACTGGAATGTCTGGTCCAGACTCGATTATTTACAGACCGCCGCAATATAGCTGGAATATTGCTGAGAGCGGCGTAAAACTCAACTCACTCACTCACTCCTCCGCGATGGGTTTAGTTTCGGCTTACTCTATAATTATGCCATATTGTTTCTTAAATTAATTTTCATTCTTTCTGGTACTGTCAGACTATGATAATTTCATCACTACGTCCTTCGGTAAAATGTATAAAATTACATTGGGCTTAGTATTTTATTTATTTATATATGTTATTTTCGAACATACTTGTTTATATTAGCTAAAATTAAATGGAAAAAATATTAGGGTGTGTTTTCTTATTCATCAGCTTCCTTCCAGAGCAACGGTTACATCCTGTAGACAGGATAACGTGACTTGCCCATCACTTAATCTCTCCATCAACAATCCAAGACGACCTTCCCAGTTTTCGTAAATCTTTGTCACTCTTCCTTCTCGGGGTAGAAGCTTCGTAGCTGTCACCAAAGGAAGGGCTAGCTCTGGCGCGTGCCAGTTCAAGTATTCCGTTACCTCATCAAAGGGAAAGGTCACAAGTGATGGACGTGTTGACACAACGAGAAGATAACTCTGTAGTTACCTTGTCGGGTCAGATGGGTTAATTACACGGGGTGTGATGAAACATTACAAAAGCAGTGAGTGAATATAGCATTACGCCGCTTTCAATGGTATTACTCCAAATCCTGTCGGTGGACACATGGAACTGGATTCACACAGTATATACATGTGGGGGAATCGAACCCGGGGCTTCGGTGTGACGAGCGGGCACTTTAACCACTAAGCTATTCCCTCCCCCCTATACGTCACATAATCAATCGGGCGATTTGTCCAAGTAAGAAATACACTTCGTTCTACCTCCATGCATAGCGCAATAAAGTACACTTTTGCCTGAACTATTATAGTTTAAGTACGGTGATCAAAATTTACAATACTCATTCAGGGCTCTAACTGACGTGCTGTTCTATGGACGTGTCAGCCAAAAGATAGCAAGTTATAGGTATGGTTGATGCCAGGCAATTAGGTCACCATCCCTCAACAATCAGTCGATTAGTGAAGAAATATCACCAAACAAACGATGTAAAGGATCTGCATCGTCCAGGCAGACCACGTAAGACATCAGCTAGACAAGACGCAGCCCTACATACACATGTTCGGTGATTTCCCTTGGCACCAAGTCCAATGTTAAAACGACAATGGCTTCCACATCAGCAACTCTGTCGTAAAACTGTTAGAAATCGACTGAAAAGGCAGGGTATAAGGCCAGGAGACCTATTCGACGACCTTTGTTGACACGTGTCCACATGGATGCAAGATTACGGTCGAACTTGGCTTCTTGGAGGAAGATCTATTTTTCAGACGAGAGTCGGGTTTGCCGTTTGTTACTGACGAAAGGACGCGTGCATGAAAACAGAGGAACATGGCATATGCTCAAAGGAACATCCTAGAAGTTCCCTTCGGCGGAGGGTCCTGGATAGTATGGGACTGTGTGTCGTATAACTGCAAACTTCAGCTTGTCACGGTGAGAGGAAATCTGAATGGACAAAGTAGTCAAGAGGAAATCTTTGATAGCCATTCCCTATTAACAAGGCCAATCTTTATGGATGACAACGCCAGGCCACATCATTGCCATTGATTTCCTGCATCAAGAAGCCATTACCACCCTTCCATGGCCAGCCAAAAGCTCTGATTTGAACCCTATCGAGCATGTTTGGGACATTCAGGGATTCTGGGGCGTTCGGTTCGTCAGAGAGATCCCCAGACCAGAATATTAATGAAGTAGAGCAAACATTGCACCAAGATTGGAACAGGTTGTCCCAACATCGGATTCAGCGTCTTGTGCACTCAATGAGGACAAGGGTTCAAAACGTCATCCAGGTGGGCGGAGGTTACACAAGATACTGACTGGGTCTTCTGTTTCTGAAACTAGAGACATTATTTGTGGATTGGGTGTATGAATTAGGACTATGTACAGTGTAACCCGTTTGGGATGACCATCCTTATTGACACATTATGTTATCTTAATTTCAGTTTTATTACAGGACCCATGTTTAATCAAACTATACCATTCAGTAGGGCTGAGCAATATAACCGGTTTACCGGTTCATACATGAACACGATACGTATTGCGATATGCTGATCGAAAACCGGTATTTTGACATGCATTCGGAAAACTTCGTAACACTCGGAAATCTTCGGATATTTCTGTTTTTTAAATCGTTCCTTTCCTTGTTTCATTTGTGCCAAACATTATTTACATTTTTATTTTGTCATCATTAATGGTTTTTATCAAAGCCTAGTCAAGCATAGTGATTTTGTTGTGTTTTTGCTTTATAAATCAAGCATTAACTCGATTATAAGTAGTTTTTGTTAAAACAAACAATACCCCTACCATTCAGATTCTTTATTGTTGGCTTTTGTGTTAATGAAAAGTCTTTTTAGCACTTTGCCTACAAGATAACTTCCTGTGAAGACGCACATGAGATATAAACTGTGATTATATATAGGTCCTCTCATAAAACGTGGGTGTTGCGATTCTTTTTTCCCTCTGTATATATCAATCGACAATTGCGACAAGCATTGGTTACTGGGGATCCCACTAGGGGCGTTATAACACTGACGTCAATCCAGTGACGTCAAAGGATATATGGTTTATTTGTATCTTACATGTCATGAGCTGGTATTAAATATATATTCAACATGACCGCCATTGACATGAATCGGTCCTACACTTACTTATCTCAAGCGCAATTCGCTTCCTTTAGCTTCGTGGATCCAGTATTCGTAGCTCGGAATCATCAATTATGATCCTTTGCATTTTCATCAATATAATCGTTTCTCTAATTCTAATAATTCTTCTGAAACCAGAGCCCCATTCCACGACACGATCGTAGCGCAATGGTAAGACAATCTAGTGATCAACAACATGAGCATCGATCTAACATCGAATTTGGATACGATGACTTGTGTCAACCAAGTCAGCGAGCCCTACCACCCGATCCCGTTAATCGCCTCTTACGACAAGCATGGGTTACTGAAGACCTATTCTAACCCGGATCTTCACGTGGTACGACAAGCATGGGTTACTTAAGACCCATTCTAACCCGGATCTTCACGGGTAATCGCTTTATGGAACTTCCGCAGATCGTATCACCTCAAAGATTCGAGTCTTGCACGCGTACATACAATGAGGTTTTTGAGTGAGTTGCAAGTCAAAACATAACTCATGACAAAAAACAACCCAACCCACTTTATTCATAGTTATGTTGGCCAAGATCTTAATTGTAATGAATGATCATAGAATGAACAGGTTGCAATGAAAGACGTTGTCGGGTCTGTTGTGACGTCATCAGAAAAGGATTCACGTGCACGTGGCTTATAACACCAGTCAGCGCCGTATCCAAGGTTACTAGCTGATTCGTAGTGAGCCTTTATCGACAATGCATCTGTAAAACACAATATTGCAGTGAGTATAGGTGCTTACAATGGGAGTCTCCTCCTACACACGAGGGCTTGTGTTGTGTATTCAGTATTGTGTTAGGATACAGTATTTCATTCCATGGAGGAATGTACATTAAAGCTCTAAAGTAGGGTTTTGTACGTCGTTTAACGTCGCACTCAGCAATATTCCAGCCATGTAGTGGCGGTCTGTAATAAATCGAGTCTGGACCAGACAACCCAGTGATCAACATCATGAACATCACTCTACGCAGTTAGGGATGCGATGACGTGTCAACCCAGTCAGTGAACCTGACCACCGGATCCTGTCAGTAGCATCTTATGACAAGCATGGCTTGCTGAAGACCAATTCTAACCCGGGTACCTAAGTAGGAGTTAACAGGACCCGAAATGTGAATTTTAAGGGCTCTTCTTGGCAGCATATAGGTCATGTATGGTAATAGTGATGTGTACTATAAATTACAATAATTACTATACAGACTGGGGTGAGTCAGTCATGATCTGAACAGTGGTCTTCAATGAAGGTCAAATGACCTTGATGCGTTGCATGTACAATGACTACTGCTATTGAGCGTCCATCAGTACACTATATTTTCTTCTGAGTGGATTCTCTGAATTTGTGTGGATTAGACGCACATTTGTCCGTTAAAGCCCAGCTACATTATCTTAAATATTAACTTAAATATAACCTTGTGAATTGCGATACCTTTTGATCATGATGTTCTGTTCTGCCATAGTAAGACAAATGAATCTAATCTTCAGCCAGGAATTACACAGGACAACATATGGTACAAATGGCTCACACTGAAACCAGTTCACCTCCTACTGACATCGAACGACTTTCAACACTTGTCAAACTAGTCAATGTTACCACTACAAGAGCTAAAACATCTGCAGCAAATGACGTTTTCATTGGAAATGTATGTTTTCCTAAATGGTTCATGAGTTATCCTAAAAACAAACATTTCTTCAGAAAATGTCTAATGGGTGACCTTGTCCTTTGACATGTCTGATTTGTGTTTAAAAGAGATATATCATATATCTTATCCCTGCCCAAGCCCTGCGTGGTTTAGAAAACGAAAGCATGTAATTTGGCTGAATTCATCCCCCATTTAGACGCAAATAATACTTCTTTCTCTACGTAAAGACCTCTCAGACAAATACAATTAAATACATAAAAAGACAAAATATGAACCACGACCATTATTGTTTCCATTGCACTACCAAGATACTCACTGGTAGTGAAAATTTGGAATCCTTGATGCTTTCTGTGTGATTTAGAAGAATGACCAACTGCCTCTTATGGCTGACATATCTTCACGGAGAGATGTAAAGTGTTTGAGTATGCCATTGACCAACATGTGGATTTTAGTATGTTCTCACAGCCATGTTATGGAACAGTAATATATTTGTTTGGGGAAGTCCACTTTGGTCTCCATTAATTCATATATTGCAGCCACTATCCGACACCACGCTGTTCCTGATGCACTGTCAAGGAAAACTTTTTGGTCTCTACTTTGGCCTTTGTGGCCTTCTCACATTTGAAATTTTTACTTTCGGAATATAATAGAATGGCTGAAACAAAAGGACAAGGTAGGATAATGGCCATTTGTGGATTACAGGAATTTCACAAACGAGCAACCTATCGAAAATTGTTATTAATTTCAGTGTTTTTCAAAGTGTTTTCATGCCTTGGAACTAGAATTTGATCATTTTAGTACCTACACTAGTTTACTTATCATAGTACCTAAATCCGTATGTGAAGTGTCCACATAGGTTGAATTTAAATGTCATAAAGGTTCTTGTTTAAATATTTCAACATTATTAAGTCTTTAACCAAAATACTTTGCTTAGTCGACGCAGATGAAATTAGTACAGACTTGCTCCTAGTTGAGAACAGTCGAACTGTGTTTCCTCATTTCAGTCATCCTTGTAATATCCCGGAGGTCAACAAATCCCAAATGTGAGAAGGCAAAAATGGACTTTAAACTGCCGCCTTCATTCGTGTTGTATTACCTGATGCACTGACGATGTGAAACCCGTTATACATTGTGGCTGTTAGAATGGTATCTCCTTTAAACGGGTCCCACTTAACTCGCCAGATACCGCCACCCAAATCACAAACCGCCAGGGGGCGCTTCATCTGTCGTGTGTCCCACACGTGCAGCTCTTCGTCGTAGCTAGAAATATAGAATGTCGTGTTTTGCCAACTGTCAATACGTGAACATCCTTGATTCATTATTTCAAACAAATATATCTAAATGGCATGTCCTGTTACATTACATTACACGAAATAGTTACGTGAAAACATTTACCATTAACGAGAAAAAGAATATTTTGTTATGGTTCCGCGAAGTAAACGCCCTACCTCCCCACTGCCAGTTTGTATTCCTGTAGACGATTGCTCTGTATGCTGCAGACTCCCATACTGTGTCTGAAATACACCAGCATAGATAGGACACGATGCACCTCCACGTGTTGAGTGAGTGAGTGAGTCTGCTCACACCACAGTAAAATATTTGGACCTGGCACATATTGGTTTACGGCATGAGCAACGCTTCATGCTGCAAGAACCTCCTCCTCCAATGGACGGAACATACATGATGTAAATACATTTTGTAACGTGAAGACTGAATTACGCTGGTACATGATGATTTACGCTGGTACATGATGATTTGGAATGCAGTTATTACTACTTGACGTTAAAGAAAGAGATAGAAGCAGGTTGGAGAGATGTCCACGACAATTCAGATAAACCAGGATTGGGGTCCCGTACATTTCAGTGATGAATCCAGACACCGTGACAACCTCACTGAGAATTGTCAGGACTACACAGGAGCCGAGCACGAGATGGTTGATGATGCTTAATCATGGTTTGAGCTTGGATAAGCGGAGCTAGAAGAACAGATCTCCATTTCCTACAGCCGGGCATGATGACATGTGTGCATCAAAGGATGACATTCTGGACGTGAGCGCAGACTTCATCCTCAATAACGTCGTGCCAAGGTCCTACTTACAGCATGAGACCATTGTTCGCATGACGTGGCCAGTCCAGTCACCTCCAACACATCATATCGAACAAATGAGGAACGAAAGCTCGGCAATAGAGAAAACTACACGAGGTCCCATTACATACGAATTATACGAAACGAGTGTCCTTCCTATGGTATCTGACCGAGCGAAAGCGAGGTCAGAAACCATAGGAAGGTCACGAGTTTCGTATAATTCGTATGTTATGAGACCGAGTGTGGTATTTTATTTATTACCCACGTCTTACATGCATTAAATTGACAAAATAGCGTATTTTTGTTATTGTTATGGTTTCAAACCGAAACCGGTTTCATACAGAGGTTGCGGAAGAATTGTGTTCTGTATCACTTTTGCATGACGTCACACTGTATTGACGTCACTACGCCATTCTCGTCTGTTACCCTTTGGTAACCGACGTCACTAAGCATGTCAGTTGTCATCGCTTCGTACAGCCTCCTACAGTAAACTACTCAGGAAGCACCCCTTTTCTTGGTTTGCAATTGCTTCACTCGGCTGACATCACTGGTGGAAACATTGCGTTTATGTTTTTCGACGGATATAATGTCTCAGTTCGACTCACAATTAAACAGCGATACGGCAACGTTCGCAATGTTTACATTCCCACAATGCATCTAAGTTGTAGAATGAATGAATTCACGTGTTTGTTATGAATGAACAAGTAGTTCCGTCACAAGGTGACCTAACTGAGAGGTCATCGGTTATTCAATCAAATCGTTAGAATCTCAGGTCAAGTCGTTACGACACAGGTCAACGCGATACGACACACGTGTGACGTACGAGATTAGTATGCAACTACCCATACGTTGGCCACGTGGGTAATAAATGCTCATCGTTAGAATCTCAGGTCAAGTCGTTACGACACAGGTCAACGCGATACGACACACGTGTGACGTACGAGATTAGTATGCAACTACCCATACGTTGACCACGTGGGTAATAAATGCTCTTATTACCCACGTGGTCAACGTATGGGTAGGTGGGTAGGACCTGTGTCGTAACGACTTGACCTGAGATTCTAACGATTTGGTTGGATAACTGATGACCTCTCAGTTAGGTCACGTTGTGACGGAACTACCTTTTCATTCATAGCAAACACGTTAATTCAATCATTCTAAAACTTGTATGCATTGTGGGAATGTAAACATTGCGAACATTTAATTGTGAGTCGAACTGAGGCATTATATGCGTCGATAAACATAAACGCAAAGTTCCCACCAGTGATGTTAGCCGAGTGAATCAACTGCAAACTAAGAGACGGGGTGCTACGGAGTAGCTTAATATAGGAGGCTGTACGAGGTGATGACAACTGACATGCATCGTGACGTCGGTTACCAAGGGAGCAAGCACACTCCGGCGCAGTGATGACTTAGCATAACATACTAGGCTGGCTGGCCCCATGGAACTCTGGGTAGGAGAGTGACGAGCAAGGCGTAGTGACGTCATTACAGTGTGACGTCATGCAAAAGGTGTACTACAGAACAACATTCTTCCGCAACCTCTTTATGAAACCGGTTTTGGTTTGAAACCATAACAAAAACAAAAATACGCTATTTTGTCAATTTAAAGCATGTAAGACGCGGGTAATAAATAACATACCACACTCGGTCTCATAACATACGAATTATACGAAACTCGTGACCTTCCTATGGTTTCTGGCCCCGCTTTCGCTCGGTCAGATACCATAGGACTGACTGATTGACTGAGTTTAGTTTTACGCCGTTTTTAGCCATATTCCATTAACATCACAGCGGGGGACACCAGAATGGGCTTCACACAATGTACCCATGTGGGGATTCGAACCCGGGTCTTCGGCGTGACGAGCCAACGCTTTAACCACTAGGCTACCCCACCGCCCCAGATACCATAGGAAGGACACTCGTTTCGTATAATTCGTATGTAATGAGACCTCGTGTAGTATTCTCTATTTACTGAAGAGTGGAACAATCTTTCCCAACCAACCCTATAGACACTTATTAGGAGCATTGACTGACGGTGCCAGGCTGTGGTCGCATCACCTCGAGTTTTTTAGTGCAAAATGAACTTGTTTCGAATTACATTACGTAGTTGCTCAGATACTTTCATTTTGACGGGTAATCTGACAGATTATTGGTCACATGTTGTGTGAAGCACGACAGCAGACTTTTGACACTGAACCTGTCTTCACGTGTGATTATTGCTGGTTATTTCAACAGATACACAGTTTGGCGGATAACCTGTTATGGCAGTGTCACGCATGATTACTGCTGGTTATTTCAACAGATGCACACAATTTGGCGGATTACCTGTTAAGGCAGTGTCACGCATGATTATTTCTGGTTATTTCAACAGATGCACACAATTTGACGGATTACCTGTTAAGGTAGTGTCACGCATGATTATTGCTGGTTATTTCAACAGATGCACACAATTTGGCGGATTACCTGTTAAGGCAGTGTCACGCATGATTATTGCTGGTTATTTCAACAGATGCACACAGTTTGACGGATTACCTGTTAAGGTAGTGTCACACATGATTACCTGTTAAGGCTGGTTATTTCAACAGATCAACAGATGATGACGATTACCTGTTAAGTGTAATGTCACGCACACAATTTGACGGATTACCTGTTAAGGCAGTGTCACGCATGACTATAGCTGGTTATTTCAACAGATGCACACAGTTTGACGGATTACCTGTTAAGGCAGTGTCACGCATGATTATTGGTTATTTCAACAGATGCACACAATTTGACGGATTACCTGTTAAGGCAGTGTCACGCATGACTATAGCTGGTTATTTCAACAGATGCACAGAGTTTGACGGCGCATGATTATTGCTGGTTATTTCAACAGATGCACACAGTTTGACGGATTACCCGTTAAGGCAGTGTCACGCATGATTATTGCTGGTTATTTCAACAGATGCACAGAGTTTGACGGATTACCTGTTTAAGGCAGTGTCACGCATGATTATTGCTGGTTATTTCAACAGATGCACACAGTTTGACGGATTACCCGTTAAAGGCAGTGTCACGCATGATTATTGCTGGTTATTTCAACAGATGCACACAGTTTGGCGGATAACCTGTTAAGGTAGTGTCACGCATGATTATTTCTGGTTATTTCAACAGATGCACACAGTTTGACGGATTACCTGTTAAGGCAGTGTCACGCATGATTATTGCTGGTTATTTCAACAGATGCACACAGTTTGGCGGATTACCTGTTAAGGTAGTGTCACGCATGATTATTTCTGGTTATTTCAACAGATGCACACAATTTGACGGATTACCTGTTAAGGCAGTGTCACGCATGACTATAGCTGGTTATTTCAACAGATGCACACAGTTTGACGGATTACCTGTTAAGGCAGTGTCACGCATGATTATTTCTGGTTATTTCAACAGATGCACACAATTTGACGGATTACCTGTTAAGGTAGTGTCACGCATGACTATAGCTGGTTATTTCAACAGATGCACACAGTTTGACGGATTACCTGTTAAGGCAGTGTCACGCATGATTATTGCTGGTTATTTCAACAGATGCACACAGTTTGACGGATTACCTGTTAAGGCAGTGTCACGCATGATTATTGCTGGTTATTTCAACAGATGCACACAGTTTGACGGATTACCTGTTAAGGTAGTGTCACGCATGATTATTGCTGGTTATTTCAACAGATGCACACAGTTTGACGGATTACCTGTTAAGGCAGTGTCACGCATGATTATTGCTGGTTATTTCAACAGATGCACACAATTTGGCGGATTACCCGTTAAGGCAGTGTCACGCATGATTATTGCTGGTTATTTTAACAGATGCACACAGTTTGACGGATTACCTGTTAAGGTAGTGTCACGCATGATTATTGCTGGTTATTTCAACAGATGCACACAGTTTGACGGATTACCTGTTAAGGTAGTGTCACGCATGACTATAGCTGGTTATTTCAACAGATGCACACAGTTTGACGGATTACCTGTTAAGGTAGTGTCACGCATGATTATTGCTGGTTATTTCAACAGATGCACACAGTCAAATGCAAATGTCCATACAATAACAATAAATCATTCAAGTTATGGTCGTGGTTGTAATGAGAATATGTAATTGTACCTTATACTAAAAATATATGGAACACTTAGTGCGGGCGTGGCACATTATACCACCTCCATGGCACTGGCGTCATTTCCGGTTAAGCCGATCGGCCGTCCTTACAAGTTACGTTAGTGGGCGAGTGTTGACGAATGCTCCTACCAATGTAGGCAGAATCAGACCAAAGTCTTAGGTATGACATGTGGATCTAGAAAATTAATATCCCCTGACAAATTGTAATCAAAATATTATCAAAGAGCTCTTGGGATTTCTCTTATCTTGTTTATCTACCATATTATTTCACTCACACGAACAGAGACGTCAGTGACGGCATTTATCAACATGAATGTCAATGTTTGCAATCCTTATATTGTATATATATAGCTATATAAACGGGAGAAACATTGGTGTCAGTGTTATGTCCACGATTAATATCAAATCTGATTGGTTGGTGGCATGTCATCAAAATGTCATACCGGTGCCAAGGTATTTCAGAAATGTTTCTTGTACGTTTACGTTTGGGAATTTCATTAACGAGATTACGACGGGCGTGTTAACACAGTGGTGAAGGGTTTAAAGCATTACTGCTGTATGGTGGCCGTTGGTTTTGAGGGCTTACCGTTTGTTGGTAAATATAGGCGTCGTGCCCCCACGCAGATCCCATCCCTTGAACATGCCGTCGTCCCCGCCTGTGGAAGTACATATCGTAGGTGTCATTGATCATACTAATCACCTCGGTTAGAAACAGGACTGTTACCAGGGTGAGTGACGCCGGTTAGGACAATATTTCAGTTATATCACAGCGTGTTATCGTTTGATGTGGGTGGAATGCCGGAAGTGATGTCCGTCTCAGAGCTTTACCGTTCGGGTGTACCTTTACACCCACCAGTTAGGGTATGGTCATGACAAACTAGTGAGTGAGTGAGTTTAGTTTTACGACGAACTCAGCAATATTCCAGCTGTATAGCGGCGGTCTGTAAATAATCGAGTCTGGACCAGACAATCCAGTGATCAACAGCATGAGCATCGATCTACGCATTTGGAGTACGATGACATCTGTCAACCAAGTCACGGAGTCTGACCACCCGATCCCGTTAGTCGCCTCTTACGACAAGCATGGGTTACTGAAGATCAATTCTAACGCGGATATTCGCGGGTCGACAGACCCCATGTGGGGAATCGAACCCTGGTCTTCAGAGGGACGAGCGAACGCTCTAACCACTAGGCTACCCCACCACCCCGGGTTATAATGAAGTACGGATATATATGCGTATGCTATAAACAAGGCAGAACTAACTATTCGTGAGCAGATAAGCACCGATGTGGTTTATCAGAGTATTGTCAACGCAAGAAAGAGTGAACGAAAACAGTTTAGAAATGTCTACAAACATTAGAAATAAGCAGTGCTAATTCAGTTCATAAAATATAACTGAAAGTACACAGACGAGCAACCAGTTTACACTTTCTCGTTTGGCGAATGACAAAACATACACCTGGAAAAAACATTAAGCACTGTACTTCCTTTGAACTTCATATATACCGTACTACCTTGTATTTTATATAATATCTATCGGTTTCGATTTCCCTGTTTCAGTATAACTGAGTCAAGTTGAAGAAAGACAACAGTTGCTTTTCGTCAGCAAACTAATATACTACAAACGGTGTTGTATGAGAACAAATGACAGGAGAATAGCTTCTAATAAACAGAGGTCAAAAGAGGGCTAGATTCTTCAGTCATAGTTACACGTTCTCTCATTTCTTCCTTCAATATATTTCTCGTATGGGGCGGCCACAGGGGCGTGTCACGCTTAGAAACAGCGTTAGAAAGACATATAGGTATATAGACCCTACCTATAGTTCTAGAGTAGGGTCTATATACCTATATGTCTTTCTAACGCTGTTTCTAAGCGTGACACGCCCCTGTGGGGGGCGTTGGGGTAGCCTGGTGGTTAAAGCGTCCGCCCGTCACGCCGAAGACCCGTGTTCGAATCCCCACATGGGTACGATGTGTAAAGCCCATTTCTGGTGTCCCCAGCCGTGATATTGCTGGAATATTGCTAAAAGCGGCGTAGAACCATACTCAATCAATATATTTCTCGTCACACCCTGGACTCACCTGAATATATAACGCCTTCGTTCCATCTGTCATATGCGCAGATCCATGCTTCGTACTCATGCGCATGCCAGGAACTGACCTTCGTCAGGTCACGATCTACGTCAAACACCGACAGTGAACCTGTCGAATCCGACGTCACAATCTGAAGACTGGGAAATATGTAACGAGTTAAATATCCGGCACCTAGCATGTATAATACAACGTTTAAAACTACGTACAGTGAATGTAAAGTACCACAACATATTAATCCTGTTTCATAAAATATTACTAATACTGGAAAAAATTATTTTTACAAAAGTCAAAACTACGTTCTAAGACATGCAAGATTTTCTGACAAAAATGTGATTTTGGTACCACTAAATTGTTAGGCCCCTCTTTTCAGCGAAACACATTGTATGTTCTGAAACGTGGAATTGACAAGTTTTCAGTCCCCAACAAATCCCACCCCAACTCTACTTTGCTTACTCTGAACATACACCATGGACTTGAATATCATGCAACGAACACAAAGCTAATTGGTGATTCGTGTCGCTAAAACTGGTATATTGTCTTTTCTTATTTAATGGTCAAGTTTTAGAAGTTGACGAATCACAACGTTGACAATTTCTGGACAACAATTTCTATATTTTACGTCGAGTAGCAGTGTTTCGTAAAAGATCCATATTTGTTGAGCCATTCTCTTACCACAGAGGTAAAAAAAGGTAGGTTCGTAGGAAGATATGGCTTGAGTAACCTAAGAGGTGAGGTGAAATTGGGTTTAACGTCGTGCTTGAGAATATTTCGCTCATATGACGACGTGCATGCGTGTATGTGGATGTGCGGCTGCTTGTACTAGCCCAGACTGAAGCTGGTTTTATAGTGCTAGCCCACTGAGATACCATGCCGCAGTGAAGCATGAATACCCCACCCAGACACATTATACTGACTCCGAGCCGACCAGTCCTTGTTGTACCCATTAATGCCGAGCGCCAGGCAGGGACCAACAAGTACCTTATTTCAACGTCTTTTGGTATGACGCGGTAAGGGATCGAACCCGCGACCTTCCGCTCTCCGTGCGGACGCTGTAACCACTACACCACGGAGGCGGTCTGTGGTAAGAGAATGTTGTTGAGCAAGACTGAGTAATGTAGGCATGTAATCAGTAGAGAAGTTGTTATCGATAAATTGTGTGTTTTACTTATTATTTCTACTTCATCTGAAGTTATTATTCAGATCAAGTCATATTGGGAAGTAAATATCAAGGAAATGAATAGTCGAGTTGGGTTTGTCAGGCGGTTTAAGATTTTGCGTACGCTTCAGGCTAATGTTAATTTGGCACTGGGGAATATGACAACCATTAATACCTGTCACTGTTACTGTCGCTCCAGTCAAGGGACAGTCCAAGACACGACAAGCCCAGGTCCGTCTGGGTCAGCTTGGTTGGGGATGTCACCAGGGAGGTGTCTGCAACCTGCCACAGCTGTAACTGGCCTGCAGCGTTGACCAGTCCACACGTGGGTAGTGGACAAACCCGGGCACACCACTTGATGTCCAGGACTCCCGGCATGTCTAAACGATGATGCAATGAGAGGCTCGTGGAGCTGTCGGAAGGCTCCAGACGGTACATCCTTAGTTGGCCTACTCGGGTCTGTGGTCGCTTTTCTTCACAAGCTGCTTCTTCCTGTTTTGCGGTTGCATTTTAATGCATTTTATTTTCGTTGGTTGGTGAGTTGTTTAACGCTGCACTCAGCAATATTCCAGCTACATTGCAGCCGTCTGTAAATAATCGAATCTGGACCAGACAGTCCAGTGATCAACACATGAGCATCGTTCTACGCAATTGGGATACGATGACGTGTGAACCAAGTCAGCGAGCCTGACCACCCAGTCCCGTTAGTCGCCTCTTACGACAAGCATGGGTTACTGAAGATCAATTCTAACGCGGATCTTCACGGGTCGACAGATGGGATTCCTCATGTGGGGAATCGAACCCGGGTCTTCAGCGTGACGACCACGTGACCACCCAGTCCCGTTAGTCGTCGCTTACGACAAGCATGGGATCTTCACGGGTTGCATTACATTTTCACATCTCAAAGAAATATTAGCGAGAGAAAAATATGCAATTGGGATACGATGACGTGCGAACCAAGTCAGCATGCCTGACCATCCAGTCCCGTTAGTCGTCGCTTACGACAATCATGGGATCTTCACGGGTTGCATTACATTTTCACATCTTAAAGAAATATTAGCGAGAGAAAAATATGCGTTGCATTCGTCATGTAAGGCAGGGCTGTTTGTGTGGCGTTGTATAAATTCTGTTTCTGATCACTCAATGTTTGTTAGATATTTGCAGATAATGGTTTATATCCAATATTATATTTACGTTTGGTTCGTTGTTACTATTAAAACTGACAAAAGGAGTTAGTGAGTGAGTTTAGTTTTACGCGGGTTTTAGCAATATTCCAACAATATCATGACGGGGAACACCAGAAATGGGCTTCACATATTGTACCCAAGTGGTGAATCGAACCCGGGTGTTTGACGTGACGAGCGAATGCTTTAACTACTATAGGCTACCCCAACGCCCCCAGACAAAAGGACATGGTAACACTGTGGTTAATGCACTCTCTCTGGATGTTCACGTCTCAATGAGTGCATAATGACCGATGATACTGTATTCTCAATAGTATTATCATAATGGCTTATTACGTTTATTTCTGGGGGGTTGGGGTGGGGTAGCCTAGTGGTTAAAGCGTTCGTTCGTCACGCCGAAGGCCCGGGTTCGATTCCCCACATGGGTACAATGTTTGATGCCCATTTCTGGTGCCCCCGCCGCGATGTTGCTGGAATAATTGATAAAACTCATTCACTCACTCATACGGTTCTCTGTATATATGTTATAACCATGGATGGCAGCATAAAATATGTTTAATCAGTTCACTTTCTCTGCTTTCAAACCATCCTCGATGTTCAAGTGCATGATATCTCAATACCTTGTATAATCGAATATGCTCTATCAGATACTGAATAACGTATATACCTTATTCTGTTCCTCCAGTTGGTAAGTGCCACACAACAGTACATCCTGACACCCCTCCACCGGGCACCATTCCACTGAATCTGCATACAGTTCTGTGTCGAAGGTCTGTACCAATCCGCGACTGGAGGGGTCGCATGAACCCTCAGCCATGGCTGATCGGAGATCTACAATAACAATTACGGTTCGACAGTTACAGTCAGAGTAGTTTTGAACCGTTAAACGAGCATAAGGCTGAATACAGAGTCCTCATCCTGGCTAGCTATTCTCGAACCGTTCGTAGCCCTACGAACTTCTTAAGCCCATTCTTAACACATTGGCTACGATCAAAGTTTAGAATTCTTAGGGCTACGAACGTTTCGAGAATAGCTAGCCTGATCCGCAAAGCGTTCGTAGCGCTGAAATATTCGTAAGCCTATGGTAAACTGTAGAGTTACGACAGATCGTAACGTTACGAATGCTTTGTAGATCGGGACCCTGAACAATGGGCGGATTGCGTTTTGTTTGTGTGGGTGAGTTTGTTGTTAAACTCGATAACTGATTGGTTGCCGTACTGAATATTACATTACTAAGGTGGCAGCCAGTCGGATATCGAATCTCTACAAGATAATCAAAACAGTAATCAATATTTTGAGCAACGATCCACGACTGCGGGGTGTGAAGACATGCTATCAAACAAATCAACACGCCCGACCACCCTGGCTATTTGACCGCCTCTCACTACCAGCATAGGTGTGGATTAGTGAGGGAGTTGACACCGCTTCAAAAATAACGTCAGCTGCTTAAATGTACACCTGAAATAAGAATAAATCAAAGGCGTTGACGACTTTTGGGAAATTAAAAGAACTACATATAAGGGGATTCTGGCCCGGCTGAAGAGGGCTACAAGTGACCCCGATAGAAATTACTATAGTGGTTCGAGTCGAGGGAAATTATGAGACATTCCTTCTCTCTTCAATCCATAATCCCGGCCCCGTAAGAAAAGTAAGAATATGATATTACACAGCAGTAGGGCCAATTTCAACTGTACCAAAACGTAAATCGGATCTTGTAGAAAACTTGCATGCAGATTGACGTCATCGTCTAAGGACAGTCATGTATCATGCTTAGCGGTTGTTTTCTAGGTACGTTGTTCTCCGACCCATCTGTCTGACATGCGCTGAGACATATTATGGTCTCCTCCGTCAAGCTGCCAATCTCATAATCATTTCATTTTACGTCTTCCAAATCTACTATAAGTGTTACAGCAAATATTCAGTTTTACTTATTATGGAGAAATGGAGAATATATTCCACATGCAATTCCCTACATGTTTGTATAAAGCTATAAGTTCTAGTTCCCATATACACCGTACTTTTAATCCTCATGACTACTGAAAGATAATAGTTTTACGCAAGTTAGTCACTTTCATAAAACACTTATAAACAATCTTTTCTGTAATGCCATTGTGTATATACACTATCAGCTCTTAGATCATCGCCTGATATTATGTGGCATGCATATAACTTCTAAGTGGACTCAGAATGTCAGAAGTCAATGCCATGAGTATTATCACAGCTCGTGTGCCCATTGGCAATAGACGAAATATGATCAAAGGTGACCCGATGGCAAAGTACCACACTGGGCATGTAGTGCATTTACTGTTTAGGGTGAAGGCTGCAAGGAGCTCCATTCCAAATGTCCCAAAGCTGCTCTGTCCGGAGTCCCTGTCCATATCAGTACGCTATCTCAGCAAATCTGTACCTGCATAAATCACATGCAGTTGGCTGCAAAACGTTCGTGGTTAGATCGGTACACCCTGTCTGTCTCTGCTGCAAAATTCTTAAAACGTGGCTAAACTAAACAGTGATCCGTGCTGTCTGGTCAAAATTCTCAGTTGACACAACTTGTCACAGTTGAAGTTGCAGTAACTCAGAATATCACCTCTGGCAGACAGCCTGGTTGTGAGGCCTACCGTTGGCATTGCAGTTCCGCACGGACATATCCTTTGCAATTGTGCAAAACCTTCGGCGGGTTGACAGCCTATGTTTGAAAGTAGATTTGGGTTTATATTCCTCAATTTGACGACTTCGGTAATAAACAGAATATTATATTCGTGACCATATCATACTATGTTTGACTAAATATCGGTATATCCCTCGCTCTCGCTCGGGATATACCAACATTTAGGCACTCTGTGTCGTAAACATAGTATGACATGGGCACTCATATAATATCCTCTATTAATATTTACCAAGTGACACTCATATTGAAAATAGCATTTTTTTAAAATTGATCATGTGTTCAGTTTCTGACTAATCTTATCTATTTTTACCATGTGACACTCATGTTGTTCCGTTGTAATAGTTATTTCACTACCCATTCTACCCAAGGTATATAGCTGAATCCATCTGGAAGAAATACAGTGTTCGTGTACTACCTGAGTGGAATCATGTCATGTTCACTATTATTAGTATTATATATTATGGATTTACACTAATCCTTTCAACATTGTCATGAACATACCGATTCAAACCTCGAGTGAGCCTTATTACCCAAAGTTTTGTTAACAAAACATTTCCAGTTGTGTACTCTGTTGTCTCGAATTCCTGATAAATAGTTTGACTTATTTGATTTATGTGTAACAGTTGAACTTGATGCACACTATTTCTATGACTTCCAGTTTGTTGGAGTTCCTACAGGATTCGGTGTCTGGAAAAACTCTGTGAAAGACTAAAATCGAACATGCTGACTCTCACTTGTATTACATCTACACTGTATTATGATGAATACCTTGCACCCATCTACAACTTCATGGGTCTTCCAATCGAAGTACTCCAAAGAGCGATGGAAATTCAGTGCCAAGTTAGCAATAGAAATGATGGTGACGGTAAGGTTGGACCCTTACAAAATGAAGAAATAGTAGTGAATGGTATTATCTAGGGCTGTGCAATATAACCAGTTTACCAGTATTTACTGGTTCAGACATGAAAACGATGTGTGTTGCTATAGGCTGATCAAAAACGTTATTTTGACATGCATTCAGGAAACTTCATAACACTTGGAAATCTTTTGATATTTCCTTGTTTGATTAGTGCCAAATATTATTTACATTTTTATTTTGTCATGATTAAAAGTTTTTATTAAAGCTTAATCAAGCACAGTGATTTTGTTACATTTTTGCTTTATAAATCAAGCATTAACTCGATTATAATTAGTTTTTAGTTAAAATAAACTTCTTGCAATATATTGTAATACATTTTGCAATATATGCTTCACATCGAAATATATTGCAATATGAAAATTCTCTGCAATACTCAACCCTAGTTTTATCATGATTATACTAATGCAATGGAGATACATAGGCCACATTATAAACAAGAATGGAAACCAACTGGTGGCTACCTTCCTTATGTATTCAGGTCCACAAAGCTGTAATGTGAGCTGAATGCCTGTTATTCAAAAGACAAACAAATCAAAACATTCAGTCATGTATCGTTTTAATAAAGGCTTCTATATATTTTAGCATCGTACAGACGAGTGCTAAAAATGCTTAACAGATCCCTTTGACACAATAACTACAACTGACATTACTCAGTCTTTAAATCATGAGTATATGAATGTCATATCAGCTAATCTACATACGAATCTCGCCAAGCACATTGTTACAGTTAAAGTATCAACAGAAATGATGGAAGACAAAGAAATTCTGAGAATGTGAAAAATATTTTGATTCAAATCTAAATACAGCAACACACTGACCTGTTCGATGTTTCAAACGAGTAGCTGGTTTTAAACATCGTCTGCATCTACATCACATTAGGATGTCATGATTCACTGATGCATCAATATGTTATTCTTGATGATATGATAATGTCACTGTCTAAATGTTAAACATTTAGGGGGAATCAGTTCTCACATAAACCATGACCCAACCACATTTGGAACATGATTTAATTGATTTTTTTTCTCTCAAAAAGTACTGTTTATGAAATTAAGCAAGGTTCCTACCTAATAAATATTTACCTTAACATTGGGTAGACGAGTGGGGACACCATTAATATGTCAAGATGCTCATTTTGCATAACTGCCACAATGTGGGCATCTGAGTTCAGGTTTGGGGAGTTTCTAAAATGGACACATTTATCATAGCTAAGCTATCACAACACATCCAGTAATGACAATTTCTGCCAGCTCCTCCTGCAGCCCAGAATGTTTGACGTACACTCATCATTGGTCTTCTCATCATGGTGTTCTTGTTTTATCTTTTGGCAATGTTCAAACATGAACATGTACTTGCATCCTGCCCTATGCTACTCCTCCATGACTGCATGAATCTTCACAATAATCATGAATATTGTACAAGACTCAACTCATTTCTTTGCATCGAATCAACAACTATTCAAACATAAACATTGTATACCATACATACAAATACAGCATAAACAGACAGGAGGGAACAAACAGTAAACTGTTGATGTCCATTAATTGTTTGTTTAAGTAAACACATGTTTTAGATTTAATTACATGAAAAGACACATGAAAATTTGTTCAACTGATTACTTCTAATTTACAATCTTACACATGAGCATAACTAAAAGCTCACACTGGTAGCAAGATTTGCTTCCTATAGTCTATACATACTGCTGTATTTTCTAATAAAATAAGGATTATACACGATAAAATACAAACTGTCATGTCAAATTAGAATCTTAGTTTAAAGATTGGTTTAAAAGTGAGTCTGACTGTTCTTCAGAGCAGGGCACTTGGTATGCAGGGATTGTTATTTCACCATTATGTTTGGCACTTTCAAAAAGAAAAACTCCAGCTTTATATCATTTCTAAAACTAACATATGTTAACGAAAACAATCGTGATAGGTTGGAAGATCATCACAAAATACTGCATTTGTTTCCATACTGGACTGTCTGTTCATCCTTCACATTACACAACAATACTTTTCTATCCACATACAGATTACTGATTGATTTTCATCAATGGTGCTACATGGAACCTTTTCTTGAAACAGAACAAAGGCAGTGATGGACTATTTCCTAAATGTACATGATGCTATGAATTTGTCAAACAATGTCCTCTTCAGTAGTGTCAAATAATGATCTTCAAGTTCTTGCACTTCGTTCACATTCCATCAAACATTCCCTGACAAGGATTCTGCCATGAACAATGCTTCTTTTCAATCTCTCAGCCGATGTCCTATTGCCAGCATATGTTGGTCTGATGTCTCTACCCATGTCTTCTATAACTGCCAACAACTGACTGTATTTGCTCATTTGCTGATGGTGTGCCATTGGTGGGAGCTGTTGTTGTCTGGGAACCACACCTGGTAATGGGGGAGTTGCACGAACTTCTGATGGGTCAACTGATCGTGGAGTTCCAGGATTACTTACAACAGGGGAGTTGGTTTCCATTATATTTTCTTCATCAGCCATCATCTGAAAAATGGAAAAATAAATAACATAACAGAGTGCTCCAATTCTTTTTATTTGCAAAACATTAATATTACAAGAACTGCATAATTTTTTCAGAAAGTTATCTTTGGAAAACTAAGGAGAATAAGGTATGTATACTGAAATAATGTGAACATACTTAAATTATCATAACTGTAATGTAGATAAAAGTCTAGATGAATTAATAAATAATTAATTGAAAACTGAGATGAAAACACATACAGTAAAATGATATATATTCAACAGAATATAACAACCATCGCTACCAGACCACCAATCATGAAATTTGGGTTTATCCGTACTTGCACGGAATCACATTTCATTTGTCAATAATTTACATGTCTCTTCTATAGAATTTCAGTTTATCATGTATATCTAGCTCCATAAGCTATAATCATATGATTATAAGGCAAGAGTTCCTCCATCCCAAATAATATTTATAAATTAATATATATACTAAAATTATTAACAAAACTTAACAGAACAATTACTAGAGAACTCACAGAAATGACTAAAAGTCCAAAATTTAAGTTAGGTTTAGGGTAGTTCATATGAATAAACTCGTATTCAAGCCAAGGCCTACATCCAGTTGTCGAGCACAGTCGTTTAGCTACCCGGTATATGCTGGACTAGGTTTAGGCTTAGGTTTAGAGATAGGTTTTGGGTTAGGTTTAGGGTTGGGGGAACGGAAGGAACTCTTTCCGATTATAATCCTAAAAGCATTTATAACATTAAGTAATTCTATTGGTTGACAACACCAACAAATTCCAAATACGGATGTAAGTTGTAACTGGACCTCTCCTGGTTTGTCAGAATGTCACAGTGATCAGAAACAAAGCAAAGTTCTCGAAGACTTTCGACCGAAATTCGGCCTTCAGATCCTGTGCGCATATATCACATCATGCATATTATGTAACTGACCGTTAAGTAAATATTTTCTTCACATTCATTAATGACTTTCCATACGTACCAAAAGCTTTTTCTCAACAATATTTTTGCCACGCTCAAGGAAGGTAACAAAGACAACTTCCGGTTAATCTGGTTTCGGTCATATGTAAAACATGACGCAGGAGGCGAAATAGAAACATGTATAAATATGCGAAATGAAACACTCTATCTAGTTAATTCTTTAATCGATCGACTCTATAATTGCTGAAAAATATACATAGTATGTTGTGATGTTACTGTAAAATTGACATCAATACAAGAGCGTAAAATCATTATGAACAACTTCTAATTTCGATATCAAGTGGATCTTTTTTATTAGTTGACTATTCAAGATGGCCGCTCGCGGTGTTGAGCGTGTTCTAGCAAAATGTGAAGCATGTGTAGATGCTGGTAACTTTTATGAAGCTCATCAAATGTACAGGACTTTATACTTTAGGTCAGTATTATTTATTCTATATGATGTTGTATTATGTGTTTGGATTGTTGATTTACTTTAGTCAGAATATTTTGAAGCGTTCCAGAAAATTCATCAAATCGTCACCTGCCCAAATATGATCTTTCACTTTCAATGACTTTGCTTGTTATTTATCTAGACGCTACAGCTAGTATCTATGAACACATATTTCTCCCTTAAGCATAATTCTGTACATTGATAAATACATGGCATAGATTTGTCGAAAACTTTATGTACGGGAAAATGTAAGGATTATGTTTTGGACATCATGTGTGTTCAGACAAGAGTGTTCATCGTGATTATACTTGCGTTATAAGAAGGGGTGTTACGTCACACAGATATGGCAAATATTGGGATGATGTCTTGTTTTGAAGATTCTGTTATGACTGAGTGATATAGTGTACAGTTGTTCATGTGATTAGCAAGAATGCAAACAGATGGTTCTTAAGCTTCCGAAAACCCATTACAAGAATGTGTAATTAATTTGTTATTCTCTAATTGAATGAGGTTGCATAGTGAACATAATTGACATGAACCCTCGCAACACGTCACAAAAATACAACCCATCTTTCATAATTATGATGAATTTTCTCAGACTCAAGTTTGGGTTGAAAAGGAATAATTAGAATTATCTCCTGTTATGTAATGATCATGTGCATTTATTGATCTGAAATGAATCAGCTGATTCTTACATTTGGATGATACATTTGTACATGCTGTTGACATATACATGATTCTTACATTTGGATGATACATTTGTATGCATGCTGTTGACATATACATGTGTGCGTGTGCGAGCGTCTCTCCAGTTTGGAGGACAAGTAGTTTTCTGGTGCTCTAATACATTAAAATGCTTACCTATGCATAACACCAATTATATCAATTTAGACACACCCAAGGGCTGAAATGACTGAGGTAAAACATCACCTACATAAGTCAAAATATAATTCCCTCTGCACAACATACAAATGTGATAACTACAAGACATCTTCATTCATCTGATTTCTTGAAAATTCAGAATTGCAAACAATTTATTATTTTCTTGAGTACAAAGTGTTGTATTGGTAGCATTTTTGCTTGTTTATGAACACTTTGAACAAGGACCAATTTCTGGTCTAAACAGTGCATAAAATAAGCACCCAGTGACTACCAGTAACTTGTGTAAGTAACAATAGATAGACGGACCATATCAACTTTATACACACAATGCATGTTTGATCTGATGTTTAGCTGCTGGTTCCAGTACAGCTGTGTTCATTATATGTTTCTGAAAAGTGATATCATGGCCACTAGACAGCACAAAGTTTAGCCCTATTTTTTTAGTTTCAATAGGTAAAAGTATACTGACAATTGAGAGTCCACATTAATGTCTTCCTTGTGACACATATATGACTAATGTATGAGACAGTTGTGAAATGTGTGACTCCAGTTATAGTCACATATTACTTTAAGTATCAGTGATACAACATACTGGAAATTCATTTAAGGAGATATTCTACATCATATTCTGTTTGTATAGCACTGAAATGTAGGTCAATTGCAGTTGTGTGTGTGAATTATTTGAACATGTTGAGGTGTTTGTTAGGATTGGTCACGGTTTCTTGAAGCAAAAGCCTTGTCTCTGTGTATTCCTTCTTGAGACATTATTTTCTAGTTGTGTTGATCCTCGGTCAAACCTCAGTCATGGTTTCTTGAAGTAAAAGCCTGGTCTTTGTGCATTCCTTTTTTAGACATTTCATGGTTGTGTCGAACTCAAAGTATTTACATAGGTTTTATGTAGGATTTCGGGACTAGCTAAATACCAGTCTATCATGTCCATTGAATGTTTATAATGGATATTAGGGGTGACTATTGAGGTGGAAACAACTATTACGATAACAATAGTCTATTGCAACATGCCATTGCGATAATCTATTGTGACCAACTATTGCAATAGTTTTATTCTCCTTGAATTGTCTCATTTGAAGTCATTTCCCAAATGAATGTATAGTTTATATGAAATTAAAACAAGTTGAAGTAGTTTCAGTCTCTTTTAATAACTGACAAGAAACGTGTAAACCAGATTAAGTAAACAGTTAAAACATAAACTCAATGATCATGCAAGTCTGCACCCAAACATCCTATCAATACTCAAACATACTATCGATGTATTGATAGTTTTTCGTTTTTACCTTCGATTATTGCTATTGGAGACTCAACAATTGCAATCCATCGATAGTTCGATGCATCGTTACAGCCCTAATCATGCAAGATAACCTGCAGTAGAACATTAGTGAAGACGAATTCAAAAGTCCCCTCAGTTAGCATCACACATCTCTAATCAATTTCCTCAAAATGCCTTTGGTCATGTCTATTTATCATGGTTTTTTTTGCCTATCTACATTTATACTCCAGTGTATTTGCAAAAATTATGCAAAGTGAATCCACATGTCACAATTAATTTTGAGTTGATGGTGTACAAATACACATGAAAAATACATGTACAAAAACACAGTAATATTACTACAATTCAACAATGTACATAATGTATACTTGTTTTTCTTTATAGGCCTTCATTTAGCTATTGTTACACTTAGTGACATGGTTATATAAACTTTAGTCTACTGCTGTGAATAATCCATAAACAAGGTGCAACGTCTCATGTATTGTTACCTGGACATGTATTGCTTTTGTCAGTTTATGCAACATTACACACTGGGAAGAGGTGTGGTAGCCTAGTGGTTAAAGTGTTCACTCATTTCATTGTAGACCTGGGGTCAATTCCCAAACATAGTGGGTACGTCTAGTGTGTGAAACCCATTTCTGGTGTCTCTCTGCTGTGATATTGCTGAAATATTGTTAAAAACAGAATAAGACCATACTCACCGTTACACTCTAGGGGAAGAGACCAATTAGAACTCAACTTAAACAGCATTACAGCAGAATTTTTTGAAATTGCATAAAAATACCCAGCACACTGGACCAAGGGACGTAAAAGCTATCAATATCTGACTTTTATGAAACTTGAGAACAATCACTCACTGACAGTCATTGGCTGCTGGGGTAGCCTAGTGGTTAAAGCGTTGGCTCGTCACGCCGAAGACCCGGGTTCGAATCCCCACATGGGTACAATGTGTGAAGCCCATTTCTGGTGTCCCCCGCCGTGATGTTGCTGGAATATTGCTAAAAGCGGCGTAAAACTTAAACTCAGTCAGTCAGTCATTGGCTGCTGGAAGGTTACACAAAACTGAAGGACTGGGGCAAGGCTTCTGATATGACATGTGCTAGTGTGCTTGACCAGTGAAACTTCTTCAGTTAGTGACATGTAGGGCTGGGACGATGCATCGATGCATTGCGATACATTTAAGTTTGATACAGCTATCGTATCGTTGACTGGTGTATCGATACAAAACGATACACAACTTTTTTCAAAACAGTATTATCTTAAACATGTTACAGTACTTATTTAGAGAAAAATACGCAAGTATGATGGAGTTACTTGTTTGTTTATTACAATAGCCTGTTATTGTTTACGCTGCTTTTACAAATAGCCTTGGCGGGGACACCAGAAATATATCATTTTAAATCTTGATTGAACCGTCTTCTGTCATTCTTTCTAGGCTAAGGTGTATGTATCCTTGATATATCATTTTATCGATATCTTTCAAGGGTAAAATATCGTGACATAGTGTATCGTCCCAGCCCTAGTGACATGGTGGTAGTTTCGATTGTCCATGCTTTTTGTCTGGTTGATGCCAATAAGTCCATCTTGTACATTTGGACAAGGTATTGCATTGTCACAAAGTATTCAGAACTAGGTGGGTACTTGGTTGAAATCTGTGCTTCAGAGTGTAAAGTTTGATAGCCAAGGCAATGGGCGTGTTGGTGCGTCACTTGTATCAGCTGTGCAATGATAAGAAAAGATTCAGTTTGTATCCGGATACACTGGTCATGATACAGAGCTCCAGATAAGATTTAGCTCATGTGGGTACTGTACCCACTGTAATTTTTTGGAGTGGGTATTATGAATGTTGAGTGGGTATTTCATTTTCCGTTACCCACTGCTTTCAAATATGTGCATATTTCAGTCATATTACTCACCTAAGTATTATGTCTTTGAGTAAGTTTACTAAGCAGGTATGTCCTGCCTTATATCATACAAGAATTTGTTCTTTTATGGTTTATTATTTATTTACCATCAATGCCAGAGATGCCAACTTCAACAATTTTATCATACTAGTGACTACAAATTTTAGCCTAAACTACTAATATCGAATTTTCACTAGAAATTTCTGAGGAAATTGGAAGAAAATTCATTGAAATTAGAAATATATAGACACAAACATATATTTTCGTCGACTAAGTACAAGACAAATATCAAGTATGTTCTTGATTTCGACAAATAAATAAGCTCTTATCATTAATGAAATCAACTTTCAGGATTTATTTCATTTATTTGATGTTTGCAAGTAGATATATATCCAAAATTGACTCTGACATAGCAAAGTAAAAGGGTACTCAAGTTTTAACCTGATTTACGATAATTCATGTCACAAGGCCTACATGTCATTCGTTTTCAATAACGTTTCAATTTGTTTGTATGTATTCTGTAGTTTCAAATTTCGTACTGATAGTAATAGACTTAAGAGTATGGACGGATACATATCCTGCACGTATAACATGATGATACAGTAAACAACGCATTCATAACATCTTTACTTTTCTATTTTCAAATAATTTTCTATTAGACCATTCACTTGATAGTGTCACGAAATTATGAGTAGATACCTTTGTTTGCGTATTCCTTTCGACAAATTCGCATAAATCGCCTTTGACATGTCAAGTTTTTCCTTCGTTGGGGACCTCTGACATTTCTTCAAAATCGAAACACTTCCAAGCGTTGGATCTGCCTTTCCGCAAGGGTAGTTGAATATTTCATCGACATCAACCCGTCGGCAGCCATACGTTTTGTTCGCGAAAAGCTTACAACAATTATGATTTCACCCAAACTGGCTTATTTATCTTAACACATTACTGGCAGATCGTTATTTATTTAGACTTTTGTTCCTTTTGTTTTATTTTTATATTCTGCAGCTGGGTTATTATGTATTTAGATCGTCCGTCATGAACAAGGTAAGCAGCAGTTTGCAGCTCATGGACTTATATCATACCTAATCAAAACCAACCTAAATATAATGGAAATGATTTCATAAAAATCACTCATCCTATACTGACAGTCCAACTTGATAGCAATCGATGTCTTTTCATTACATGAAGCGATTTTTTATAAATATATTCCGTACACATTTGTTTTAACCTTTTTGTGTATCTAACATTTTAAATGCGTAATTGGTACACAACAATTATTTTTCAATGCGTAGTTGGAAATTTTCTATGCATATTTTACCCGGATATGCAGCTTATCTGGGCCTCTGATGATACAATACATATCTTAATATGACATAATTACATCACAAAGGCCATGAAATGAATTCCTCATGAATATTAATTAGATTAGTGACAAAATGGTGACAGAGTCAGTTTGATACCAGACATCTAATTTGTTAACAGGTGACTTTCAAAACTCACATTTATCCTATTTAGAGATTTTTATTCTTTTATTGAGCATGTAAAAAATATCAATTTTGTGTCATCAAATATCATATTACAGATATCACACAGACCTCATATATAATGCTACCTGTGAAGATCTGTGTTAGAATTGGTCTCAACAACCCATGCTTGTTGTAAGAGGTGACTAGTGGTCACACTCACTGGCTTGGTTGACACATGTCATCGTATCCCAGTTGCGTAGATTGATGCTCATGCTTTTGATCACTGGATTGTCTGGTCCAGGCTCAATTATTTACAGACCTCCACCATATAGCTGTAATATTGCTGATTGCGGCGTAAAACTAAACTCACTAGCTCACTCATCCATACTAATACATCTAACATTCTATAACAAATTTGTGTTACAAATTCTTTCTATGTTTGATGTTTCCAGGTATGCAGCTGGTCAGAAGTATGCAGAGGCTTCAGACCTCCTCTACAAAGGTTCCCTGACGTTACTTAAACACAACCAGGTATTAGTTAGTAAGACACAAGCACAGATAGTTCAGTGTGATACTCATTCCACTGTGATACAATATTAATGCAGTAAGAATTGTTTGATTCTCATCAGGGTTGAACAAGCATTTAAGCAGTGGAGATCAATGAAACATAGAAATGGCAGACATCTGTACATGAGACTGTACTTTAAATAACTGACAAAGAGATCATTGACATACCACCAGAATATATTCTTATGCTTAAGTCATAGAAATAAGAAATTGCTCTCATATTGTTTGATCATACATGTATATGTAAATGCTGTGTGCAAATTATGTGACATTTTTCCGAAGCCCATCAGTCCAAGTCATTTTTATTATGTTAAGACATGTTTTAGTCCTAGATTGAAAATACCCGTGAAGATCAGGGTTAGATTCGGTCTTCGGTAACCCATGCTTGTCGTAATATGGGATCGGGTGGTCAGGCTCGCTGACTTGATTGACACATGTCATCGTATTCCAATTGTGTAGATCGATGCTCATGCTGTTGATCACTGGATTGTCTGGTCCAGACTCCATTATTTACAGACCACCGCCATATAGCTGGAATATTGTATTCATGTTCTTATGACTGCTGTTTTGTCTATTTCAGTATTCCAGTGGTGCAGATTTAGCTTTGCTCCTTGTAAGTGTCCTGAACAGCTCAAAACAGGAAGTTAGCAATGTTACAATTGGTAAGTAACATCGTTTTCATTAGTAATGTGTTGTGAGGTTTGATTTTGTACATAGTATTTGGATTGCTTAAATTATATGGTGCTCGGGGTAGCCTGGTGGGTAAAGCATCGCTTGTCACGCCGAAGACCTGGGTTCGTTTCCCCACATGGGTACAGCCCGTAAGAGAGGGTGTGAAGCCCATTTCTTGTGTCCCTGGTGTGATATTGCTGGAATATTGCTGTGATAATCCTGAAAAGCAGCGTAAAACAGTGTTTCAAGTCACAAATTGCCTACCCACTAGACTGACAGGGCAAAGACATCCAAATTTGATGATAGCTAATAATGAAACAAGCAAGAAATGGTTATTCAAAGGAGATTCATTTAATATGGGTCTCATAGTGTTGTTCTGGCCTTAAAGTGGCACTGTTTGAAACTGTTTCATCCTTGTAATTTTTCGATCAAGGTCAGCTTTCAAGTGTTTACTTTGTTTTGACCTACAGTTTGTTTACTTGGCGAAAACATGATACATGAGTGTGTGAAGTCCTTTCATACAATCAGGGTACCCGTGAAGATCCCTGTTAGAAATGATCTTCGGTAACCCATGCTTGTCGTAAGAGGCGACTAACTGGATCAGGTGGTCAGACTCGCTGACTTGGTTGACACATGTCATCGTATCCCAACTGCGTAGATCAATACTCATGCCGTTGATCACTGGATTGTCTGGTCCAGACTCGATTATTTACAGACTGCCACCATATAGCTGGAATATTGTTGAGTGCTGCATAAAACTAAACTCAATCAATCAAAAACCTTTCCTTAATGAGTGATGTGTTTTGTTCCTGTAGATCGGGTTGCAACACTCTTCCAGCAGATGGACCCCAACTGTCCAGAAAGACATAATTTCTTGACCTCAGCCATAAGGTGGACAAACAAAGTGAATGCAGACCACAAACGAGGTCATCCTGACCTGCATCAACGATTTGGAATTACATTTTGGCAGGGTATGTTGGATTCTAAAGTGCAAGTCATTTGAACACTGTTGGGATTCAAGGTTAAAAATGATATATAAAGTAACCTATACACAGGATAAACCAATGAAGATCAGGGTCAGGGTCTTCAGCAGCCCATGCTTGTCGTAAGAGGTGGCTAGTTGTGTGAACAGGCTTGCTGACTTGGTCATCGCATTCCAATTGTGGAGATAGATGATGGTGGTGATCACTGGATTATCTGGCCCAGGCTCAGTTATTCACAGACTGCAGCCATATAGCTGGAATATTGCTGAGTTGTTAATTCCAGACTGCAGCCATATCAACAAACACTCAACAAAAACAAACAAGCAAAACCCTACTTGGGACCCTGCATTGTTGACACATGTAATTGTATCCCCATTGCGTAGATTGATGTTGTGGTGTTGACCACTGGACAGTCTGTTCCAGATTGAGTCTTTACAGCCCACAACCATATAGCTTGAATGTTGCTGAGTGCACCATTAAACAACAAACAAACTATACACGGGATAAAAGGCAGCTCATATAACATATGGTCGGCCACTTGTATCTCAATATAACTTGCTCTTAATATCAAACACTGGTCTGTTGAAGATTTGTTTTTATTGTTTACAAGCCACTGTGATATAACTTGAATTGCTGACTGTGTGTTTAACATTGTGTGGCTTTAATTGAATTTACAACATATTTCCAGAGAAAAACTATGCACAGGCTCGCTACCACCTTGTTCACTCTACCGATGGGAAAGGATGTGCAGCCATGTTGATAGAGTATCATAATAGTCAAGGCTACCCATCTGAGGTGGACCTGTTCATCGCACAGGCTGTGCTGCAGTGAGTATTGGAAACATGTTGTGGTTACAAGAGTCATAGCGACATCGTTTAGCTGGGTGGGTAAGATTGTAGGTTATCACAAAAATCGTTGTGATCCCAGTACACTGGGATTTATGCTCATGTTTTCTGTACTAGCCAAGACAGCAGGCATCCTGACCATTGTCATCAGGGAAACATTGGTTTGTTGCTTTTGTTGATCTTTTGCTATGTTTCTAAAACAAAAATCAAGATGTTTTAGCATAACCTAGTAACATAATTGGACTCAAAGCCATTGTGATCTTATCAATCTCAAGACTGATACATTGCAGCTAAGACTGATCATCAATCAACTTCTAGTCATCTTGTTTCTGCAAAATTATCTGAGAAAAAAAGTGAAATTGTAAGTGATTTTGGGTCAGTTTGGGACCACACTATTCTGTGTGCGATCTCACTGTTCACATTTCAGCAGTACTGTTAGTAACGAAGTCTTTCATTATGTTTTACGTTAAAGTAATACAGTTGTGTCAAAGATGAAGGAACCTACAGTTTGTTTGAGTTTTTAGAGGGTCGCCAAGGCTGCTGTATGATGATCAGATTAAGAAATACATAGGGACTATGCTTTGACTTCAAGGCAGTTGTTAATTTGACTCAGTAAAGTTCATCACAACAGTGTTTGTATCTAAAAAATTGACAAGGTAGCAGTTGTACCAGGTATCTGAATTTCATTTTGTAAGGGTAAACTCCATTTGAGGAAAATGATCGATACTATGCATTGCAGCATCAAATCTTTTTATCACTGGATTATCCTGTCCAGACTATATTGTTTACAGGCCATATTATCAAAGACCTGTAATATTGCAGAGTGTAGTGCGAAACAATAAATTAAGAAATTTGTTAGATGTTAATGTGATGGTTATACTTTTAAAGTTATTGTGTACTACTTTCTGTATGACTAATGGTGTTTGTTTCCTTGCAGGTATTTGTGCCTACAAAACAAGGACACAGCACATGCTGCGTTTATTGCCTACACAACTAATCACCCACACTTAGAGAAGGGGCCTCCATTTGTGAAACCTCTGTTGAACTTTCTCTGGTTTCTGTTACTGGCACTGGAAGGGTAAGGATATAATTCATATATAACCTTTTGAGCATTTTTAAAGGAACTGAAAAATAAATGACCACAGCGATCCATATCCTGTTGGTTTTTTGCAGACTCATAACATATACCTACTCTTTCCTAGTCAACTGGAATTCTCATATTCAAAATGGGTAACTCAAAGGATAATTACCGAAACTCGTAAATATAGCTCTGAACGTATAACTACTGCAATTTGCAGGATGAGTGCATGCCCTGTAGGACATGTTGGGTTTAAGAAATCTTTTGGGCCCTGATTTATGAGCCTATTTAATGCATGATATATCTGTCTCGTTAGATCATCGGGATTATGCAGTAATGTGAATCTCATTCTCATTGAAAAACCTCCTAGTACACAACATTAAAAGCTTATCTTGCCGAAGTACAGTTACCTCCCTTAGATTATTTTCACTTGATTCAAAAGTCCAAAAGTCTTGAATGAGTAAGCCATGTGAAAGCCATGTGAAAGTCATGTAGTATTTCAGGGATGACAATACACTTTCTTCCCTGTTTCAGAGGCAAATTAGCAGTGTTTACGATATTGTGTGAAAAATATGAAACTTCCTTAAAAAGGGATCCTAGTTATAAAGAGGTGAGTTATTCGGGTGATGTCATCCATTAAATATTTTTTTCCATCACTGCTTGAGGATATACAATGATTTTTGCATCATGCATGTCCTGGGAACAATTATGCTATTTTGGTATACACTTGTTTAACCTTGATTCATTGGAAGTGCTGCCAAAATCATAGGGTAAGGTACTGAACACGATTTCATTTGGTATACTCACTGATTATTTTATTCATTGATTCAGCAAATTGAAAATGCCTAATATTCCACTCATGAATGAAACGTTTGTTTACCGAAGCCATTTGAAATCATCATCCATTCGTTGTGCACATAAAGTGTGACGTAGCCTTGTTTTGTGAATTGTGTAGTCGGTAACGATATATCACTAAGTACGACAGCCCATTGCAGTAAGTATTGACACCTAGGAAAGCAAATGACGAGATGTGAGAAGGTTGGTGCTAACGGTATCTTTTAACTTGACAGTTTGTAAAAAGAAATATTTGGTATTAGTGGCATTAGTGATCTTGGGCTATTTATCTCAGTGCTGGACAATTTGATTCAGTGGATTTACGTGTAATGCAGAGATTCCGAACAGTTTTGTCAACGAGGCATGGCATTGTGTGCACATCAAATGTACCGCTTCGTGATGTCATACGAGACTTAATTTACGAGATAGCATGATAATTTCCGCAATCCACGAATCAAGGTTATCCACAAATTTAGGTTACGGTTCTGTATAACTTTTGACAAATTACCTATTTTCCTTCTTTATTTTGTGGAACAAATTATTCCTTTAAAAGTTTTTCCTTTGACCAGTAATTCTGAATAGTTCTGTATTTCAATTTCCAGTATTTAGACAAAATAGGCCAGCTCTTCTTTGGAGTTCCTCCCCCTCAAGTCAGCCAAGGATTGTTTGGTGAGCATATCTACTGGGTATTTTTCCAACCTGTTTTGCCAACCTGTTTTGAAAAGATGGTCCATTTTCACACTGCTTATGTTTTAAACATCAGATGCTTTATTCAAAACAAGGATGCAAATTTTCTGCAGAATTCCACAGTCTTGCTACTTCAAGGGTCAAGTGGTGGGCACCCACATGGGTGCAATGGGAAGAACTCATAATGTTGCTAAATGTTGTCAGTAATACACAAGTTTCCTGTAATTCAAACTTACATTATTTTTAAATAAGCATTAAAAGATGAGTTTGTGAAATTAGGGTCAGATATTCATTTTCATCTTTTGATTCCTTTTTGTTTTACATGCTTTGTCTTATTTTCAGGGAATTTGTTAAACAGTCTCCTGGATGGTGGTGGTGCCGAAGACAGTGATGACGACAATTCTGTGACTGCCAGCACCGCTCCCAAAAGAAAAGAGACACAATTTGATATGGATTAATTATCTTGCAGATGTGTGCCTTTTCTACGTGGTTATCTCCCTTGGGGGCTCTGTACCTGACATTCTAAATACAATTCTTGCAGGGTTTTGTTCCTTCATTTAACACTGCAGTGAGGTGTGACATTTGTTGCATTCTAATATGATTATTTACATTGAAAATATATTCTTGAAAATATGAGACTGTTTGTGATGCATCTGAATTTCAGTTAATGGATTAGTTGTATTTGGAACACCAATGCAAAAGTTAAAATTCATTCTCAGGCAGTGACTGTCATAACATTAATTTGGTCAGATGGTATCATTTGTTATGAAGATGTGATTCTAGGCTGTCAGAACTTGTCTCCATTGGGGATGGTGGGGTATCCTAGTGGTTAAACCATTCGCTTGTCATGTTTAAGGTTCGATTCATCATTGCCCACTTGGGTGCAGTGTGTGAAGCCTAATTCTGGTGTCCCCTGGTGTGATATTGCTGGAATATTGCTAAAAGCAGGGTAAAACCCAACTCACTCATTCACTTGTCTCATTGTCATGTGTGATATACTTGTACTAGTGTCAGTATGGTTTCCTGCTTCGGAGAATGAGAATGGCTCTGTAATCAAGTGTATGTAAAAATTGTTATTCACATTGTCAGCTTCAGGGGTTTGTGTAGACTACAGCTTCCCACCAAAACCTGAGGGGACATAGGTTACTTGGGGCGGTTGGGTAGCCTAATGGTTAAAGTGTTAGCCCGTCAAGCTGAAGACCCGGGTTCGATTTCCCACATGAGTACAATGTGTGAAGCCCATTCTGGTGTTCCCCGCTTGAATACTCCTAAAGGCGGCGTAAAACCATACCCATTCACTCACATAGGTTATTTCATTGTGTATTCACTATCTTTGTCCATCAAACTGAACAACAGCCTGATCCTAGGGAGAAGGAAACTGATGAGTACAAACACATGGAGTTCATATTTCGTCATACACAGCGCTGTTTCTTTCAAGGAATTATGTTTGATGTGCAGCCTGTCTTCAGTACCTTGCTTCAATATAGGGCAGTTGTACAATTCACACAGAGTTACTCTTTCACAGGGTATCATGTCCCAAAGACGTCAGTGACTTTACATGGCTTCATTTAATGAAGGCTGAAACTTGATACAGGTAATCACTACACTGCTATCGACCCAATGTAATCAAGGTGATGAGGAACATAGTGTATATTCACCCCTGAAGTACTGACTCATCGAGATGGTAGAGTTGTGACAGACCATAACGACTAAAAATAATTGATTTCCTTTTGTGTCCCTCTTATAATGACACACACATGTGGGAGCTGTGCCGTGGGAGCCATGCCAATTTACGCTTGTCAGAAGGGTACACAATGTACGTGATCTAAACTACCAGGTGTCCGACTTCCATTTTTGTGGAAGCTGCCGTGACTTAGATCGCTGACTTTGAGTGCCTGACTCTGAGAGTGAGGGGAGGTGGTGTAGCCAAGTGGTTAAAGCGTTCGCTCGTCAAGCCGAAGACCCGGGTTCGATTCCCCTCATGGGTACAATCTGTGAAGCCCATTCCTGGTGTCCCTCACCTTGATATTGCTGGAATATTGTTGAAAGTGGCATTAAACTAACTCACCACCACCACCACCACCACTGAGCGTGAGGGTTCAATCCTGGATGGGACTCAACCTAACAAAAGTACTTGAATGTGTACTTTGTCTGAGAAAATGTAATCCCAAATATTACATGTTACAGTGCTTACACAGATGGCAGTGTTTAAATGAAGTAGCAAAACTCTGTGTTATCCTTTATTCCTGTTGGTTTCCATTCCTGTCTTATTCAAGCTAATCAGCTTATCATTCATCGATTACTCTAGGAGAATGTCATTGTTTGAAGTGGTGAATTGGAAGGCAGTTATTATGTTACAGATATCTTCATGTCATGAAACAGTTCATGTCAGAGTGACCTAATAGTTATGAGTCGCGTATCTTCTACTTTGGTCTTATGATACATCAAATTCGAAACATGACAGATTGAATGTCTGTTATTGATATTTTCCATAAGGTATTTGAACTAGAACTTCTCATGTACTTATGAATATTATGAAGGATCTTTGTCTTGTTTCCGTGTGATTATTCAGAGAAGGATAAATTCCGTACACCTGAAAAGCTGAAAGCTGTTAATATTTTACTCTGTAACAGTACCTATGAAGACTCCTTCACAGGAGGCCCCATCACAGGAAGCATGAACAACTTTGACTGCACCGGCAGCTGAATCATACCTGAGCCAATCAGATATCAGCTCTCTGGGTTGCTCCAGTCAGATATCAGCTCTGTGGGTTGCTCCAGTCAGATTTCAGCTCTCTGGGTTGCTCCAGTCAGATTTCAGCTCTCTGGGTTGCTCCAGTCAGATATCAGCTCTCTGGGTTGCTCCAGTCAGATATCAGCTCTCTGGGTTACTCCAGTCAGATATCAGCTCTCTGGGTTGCTCCAGTCAGATATCAGCTCTCTGGGTTACTCCAGTCAGATATCAGCTCTCTGGGTTGCTCCAGTCAGATATCAGCTCTCTGGGTTGCTCCAGTCAGATATCAGCTCTCTGGGTTGCTCCAGTCAGATATCAGCTCTCTGGGTTGCCCCAGTCAGATATCAGCTCTCTGGGTTACTCCAGTCAGATATCAGCTCTCTGGGTTGCTCCAGTCAGATACCAGATTCGTCTGATCTATGTGCAGAAAGGTAACACCTAGTAGTAAAAGATCTGATTTTAAAAACATTACTCTAATGTAGATCCATGTAGAAAATATCCAATGGATTATTTATCTTTGTCTTTTGTACAAATTCTGTTTATTCAAATGAGCTTTGACAGATTTTCAAAGTTGTTTGCTTATTTTGAACATTTTGCTTCAGTTATCTAGTGTATGTCCTCATGTATTCGAACAAAATACCAATGAACTAACCTAGGTTTGCTATTATAAAGATTTCCTTCCCCAGATTTAATACTCAGGAACAATGTTTTCTGTGAAAAAAGCATTGTAACAGTCTTTGGAATTGGTTCTGGTTCAATTAAGAAGGCTTGCTCATTCACGACTGCAAGTTTGCATATGTGGAACTCGGTCATTCGCCATAAAATCAGATCTTTTACTCATGGCAATAGTTCACCATTTGACTCATACATTTCAAATTAACCCTCACCGAAATATAACTGACTTTTCTTTGAAAGCTTTATCCAATAATTGTTTTTACTATTTTGTTATTTTGTGAAAATACTAATATTATCAAAAAGACACTGTATAGTCACGTGTTATACCATAAATCCTTCAATATGTGCTGTGTATGAGTTACATGCCCCAATATTATACAAGTTAACTGATATATGCTTGCCTCAGTTTAATGTCATGTCACACAGTGGGTAAGACTTCCACCCGTATCCCCTAAATTTTAACGATGATGAAAATATGAATATGTATATTCAGGTATTATACAGGTAATATGATGTGACTAGAAGTCATAAAATAAGTTTAAAAATGACTTTGTGCACACAGACATTAAATTATCAGAGTTAGGGTTGGGGTTAAGGGTGGGGGGGGGGTGGGGGTAGTCTTTCCACACGGTGAGGAAGCCACTATCTCTATACCATAATTACTGGAGTGTATGTCAGTTTGACAGAAGAATGTGCTGTTTATAGGTGTTTGACAAGGACTACTTGATACTTTTGTGTTTATTTGTCTTTGACTTGTGTATTGCTTTCTCATGAGATGTTGGATAAGTTTTTTATTTATCAAAACTGATTTGTACAGAAATAATATATTTTCATCCTGTTTGATGTTATTTAAAAGTGATGACATCTTATTCATGATTTTGTTTTCAGCTAGTGTATGCTACCAATAGATCAACTGGAAATGTACCATTGATATTATTTCCCAGGAAGAAGCGTTTGTTTGATTTCTTAACATATTTCACTTTTATTTCTAGTTGGTTAGGGCCATGTTCACTGAATTATTCAACTTGAACTTGTTGACCAATTTTATTTTTGCGCCTATGCTTTGTGTGGGGTAAAGAACTTTCATTGGTTATGAAAGCTGGCATATGCAGTATGAAGAGTTATTCACTTTGAAAAACAGGTGCATACACACAGACATAGATCTTATGTAACAAATACACAAAACTTGACAGTTTCTACAAATAAATGGAGATTATTATTTCACACAAAACCCTTTACATTTTTTCTCTGTGATATTTGCAGGCTGCATAATTATTTTCAGCCAGAAACAATCACTGTAAAGACCTACCAGTACAGGAACAGTGTCGCAGGGTTCAAAGTTTATGTACACAAACAACATTTGACTAATTCTTCCCTACTTAGTAACTGTGTTTTTTTGTAACTTATTATATTCTGTCTCTCGAAAATGTCTGAGTGTCTAAGAAAATGAGTTTTTAATGTTGCTTTGTAAAATGTCTTCATATTTATCGCTCGGAAGTGTGTAATTTCAAAATGATTGAATAAAAATGACAAGACTAATACTGTATGTCTAAGATTGGTATAATTCAAAGTCTGATATTTATGGGTTCTTTGTTCTGCACACCAAGGCATTGGTGGAGTTGTGTGTTTGAGTTTGTTTCTTCAGAGTCAGAAGTTATGAATGACCCTATGATATGCAAAAGATTACCCTGTACAGTCATTGTTGTATAAAGTGTCCATGCTGATAGGTCTGTGTGTTGTGTCTTGTAATGATGGGAAGATGTGCGTTGTGGTTCAACAACTGTTGGACTGATGCATACCAGTTAGAATTGATCTTCAGTAAACCATGCTTGTCGTAAGAGGCGACTAACGGGGTCAGGTGGTCAAGCTCGCCGACTTGGTTGACACATGTCAGCACATCACAATTGCATAGATCGATGCTCATGCTGTTAATCACTGGATTGTCTGGTCCAGACTATTATTTACAGACTGCTGCCATATAGCTGAGTAAAACTAAACTCACTCACTCAACTGTTACACCTGCCCTGATATTGCCGGAATATTGCTAAAAGCAGGGTAAATCTAAACTTACTCAACTATTGGAGACATATTCGGCCTCACCCTTAGCCCCATATGATAATTTCTATGCTGAGGCTTGAATTTTTATGTTTTAATTTGTGGTTAGACTAAATTTATTATTTATTATGAAATATCTACAGGTAATTATTTAAAAACAGGATACAGGTGGTATAAGCAGTGTAAAGAGAAATGAAATGTTTCGTATGAAAAACCTATTCAAAGTGTTTCATTGTTTGTAGAACAAAAAATCTAATTAAGACTAACTTGAAGGCAACCCACTGGGCTTGCTGGTTTTGGAAAGGTAGGTAGATCTAATTAAGAGTTTCCATTAACAAATCTACAACTCAACAGTAACATTTACAAAACAACACGTAGTTTTACTAGGGTCTTAAAATGATTTGTTATTTTCAGTTCAACTTTCAATTTCTCATTTCACTTTTCAGTCGTAATGTTAAAACAAATCGACCTGTCTTTCAATAAGTAGAATATTTACATATATGTAAGTATAGTTGTATATACACGACTTGACAGAAAAGCGGCCTGATAGGTATAGCGAACAATAAGAATTTAATGTATTATCGATGATTGTATTATTTTTGGCGTCTTCACTCAATGTAAAGAATAAAAGAATTCGTCGGTCGGTCGTGCGACGACAGTACGGAACAAATAATTCAAATAGTATTAGAAGCGGTCGTAAAATCTGACCTATAAATGAGTAGATGGCTCAACAGAACCTTAATTAAGCGACCTACATAAGAATCTTACAGGGATATTATTACACGAAAAGAAACTATTGAAAAGGACAACTTGGAACAAATACGGAAGTGAATTTTTTCCCTTATTGCCTTTGCATACAATATATACCAGATAAATTAAAACAGTAGCAGGAGTCGTCGTGGCCGAGTGGTTAAGGCGATGGACTCGAAATCCATTGGGGTCTCCCCGCACAGGTTCGAATCCTGTCGGCGACGTATATTTTTGCGGAGAATTTTCATTACTTTTGCAACGTAAGTGGATGATACAACGCAAATTGTTTGAAACTACTAGTTTTTCCTTTCATGTTGTTTATGAAATATAATGTCGGTTCACATTAAATAAAGGAAATCTTTGTAAGGGATCATGCGGATTTTGAAAATACACGGACAACATGAAGAGACCTTTAATACAGACACCTACCAAATCTTGCCTCGTTTCAGTCAAAACTGGTTTCAAATCAAATTTGGTTCTCATTTTTTAATGTATAATCACAATGGACTGAAGTAAAAGTTGATAATACAATGTTATACATGTATATTGCGTTGCTGAATTTCTAAACCGGAAAGGGTGTCAAGCAAATGACTAGCTAAGATTGATTCGGCGATGACCACATGATCTTACAGTCTTACACAATGATAATATGTTAACAAGATGATTAGCACCCATCAATCATTCTGCCACCAAACATATTTATATCGTACAAATACCAGCTGGAGCGATC